CAGGTGACTGTGTGGGAGCAGGATGAAAAAGTGTTTGTGGAGACAAAGGGATGGCGATTGGTTAAGTAGGACCGGAACCAGGCGAATGCGTTGCCACTGAAGTGGTTGTGGGAGAAGGAGAGGTGGTGGAGGAGGAAGCGTAATCGACTGTGTCGAATGCAGCAGAGAGGTTCAGAAGGACAATGAGGCAGAGTGCACCCTGATCACAGAGAGGGGGGACGTCATTGTGCATTATGATCACAGCCATGGAGTGAAAGACCAATTTTATTTGGGAGATTTCTGGTGAGGACAGTAGGAGGAACTCAACAGGCAGAGTCTCAGTTTAATGTCTCATCTGAAGGATGGCACTTCAAAATGCAAAACCCCCCAACATTGCATTAGAGTCATCTTAGATATATGAGTTCCAAGTCCTAATGTCCTAACCTTTAAAAGAGTTTGCTTCACATTTAGGATACTGGCAGTTCTCTCGTACCTTGTTTAACTGTCTATTTATTGGTTCCAGACAGTGAGTGCTGATGGGCTGTTTGAAGTCAATGCCATGTCTGATACTGTTTCTATACACCCACTTACAGTGAGGGGAAATCAATGGTGAGCAATTGGGAGAAGTAAATCTGGCTGCTTCATATTTCTTTTTCTTATTATTCTCAGCCAAGAGCACAGAGGTTAATTGGAAGGTTATCACCTGGGCCAATAGAAAAGTGCAGATGTAATTTTTCTGCGGAAACAAACTCCTCCACTGCAAACGCCCTCCGCTGCACACCTGTAACAACGCAATGTGCTCGGCCCCAGGCCTCTGTGCACTTCTGCAGACCGTTTACTCAATGCTACTCAACGTTGGATGGACAGGTTCCGAACGCGAATTTGTGGTGCAGCTCGAACAGGAAATGGGATTCACTCACCCAGAGCTGTTGAGATTGTCTGTGTGTCTCTCTCTCTCCTCTGTATGTGAGTGTGTCTCTCCTCTGTATGAGTGCGTGTCTATCTCCTCTGTATGTGTGAGTGTGTCTGTCTTTCCTCTGTATGTGTAAGTGTGTCTGTCTTTCCTCTGTATGTGTGAATGTCTCTCTCTCCTCTGCATGTGTGTCTGTTTCTGAGTGCCTGGGCATGTTTGTCTCTCTGTCTCTCTGTGTCTCTGTGAGTGTGTCTCTGAGTCTATGTGTGTCTCTTTCTACGATTGTGTGTGTCGTGTGTGAGTGCATCTCTCTGTGTCTGTATGTATGTTTCTCTCTGGGTCTGTGTGTGTGGTGGCGCGCCCCAAGAGGCAGGCGGTGGTGACCTCCTGTAGCCCCACAGAAAGGACTCTGGCGAGCTTGATGAGCAGTGTTGGTGTTTGGTGGATCTCCAGGCCTTCAAATGTAGTGCGGAGTGTAAATGGACCATTTGGCCCTTGGGCCTGCACTGGTGTCCCCCGTCCCCCCATCCCTCGAGTGGTCCGCCCATTTTTGTTAAAGAAAGCATTAATAAATACAATTTACAACAATCTAATACGTGTTATTTCTTCAAGTTTAGTTTTAATCAATAAAGTGTAAAAATGTCAGTTGGCAGTAAAATGTAGCTTTTAATATTACCAATCAACTACCCGCAGTTTTCCACAAAATTTGACAAATATCCTTGCAAATTTCTGCAAATATTTGCGCGTTCTGTTGCCCTGGTTATCACTGAACCCTCAATAAGATCATATACAGCACAAGACAAGGACAGTGTCTTTATCTGTATAGCTCAGATCATCTCTACACCATTGAGACGAAATTCCACCTGGGTCTAGATTTATTCAATTTGTGTAGCATTTCAAAGCTTCCAAAATTTGGCAAATTCTTAAATACGGCCTAGACTAGCACTGCAGCAGTGGAAATGAGTTGATTGTGCAAGGTTGGGTGAGAGATTGTTGCCTGGTGACAGAATACATCAATAATTATTCTTTTAATAACTATGTGGAGTCCTGTAGCGTATTGGTTGGAGCACTCGCCTCACAAGCAAGAGTCCTGTGGTTCGTTTCCCAGGCAGGGCAAAACCTTATGCAAATTTCCGTACTCCACAAACCTGTTTACCTAGTAGTAAGTAGGAACCTGATTGCTGTTCAATTGGCAGATCACTTTCTGGGGCATAATAATCCATTAAAAAATAATTTGCGTGAGATATTGTTGCCTGCTGACGGTATATATCTTTAATTGTTCTTTTAAGGACTACCAAAAAACTACAAAGATAAGACTGAATTTAATTATTTATCAAGTTTTTCACAGCTGTAAAATGCTACATAAATAAAGTAAATCTAGTCCCAGGTGGAATTTCTGTGATATCTAATGTAGCCCTATCAAAACCCTTCTTTAAGTCTTGTATCGTGAAGTTTAGTTTGTGGGACTTTTTGTGGGATACTGCTGTGTGCAATTGGCTGCTGCGTTTCACCCACAAAATACATTATTGATTGCTTGTAAAAAAGTTACAGAAGAAACAGTTGCTTTGAGACTTCTCAATGAGGTGGTAAGGCACTATATCAAATATAAGGATAGTTAGTGCTACAGTTGGGTTTCCACACACAGTAATGAGGCAACCATAATTGTGAATCATGTAGGCACACCTTCCGTAAACAAACTGTTCCTTCTGTAACTTTTTTACAAACAATCAATAACTATTGAAGGGTTGGTCGTAATTCAATGGGTTTTGCAGTCACCAAAAAATATACGGGAATCAAACCTGTGAAGCAGCAACCATTATCCAAAATAAAATGTTTACTCTCATTTAGAACACGTTTGTATCATTCTGATATACGTGGGCGACTAAGCCATGAATGAATAAATTTAGGCAGAATCCTGAAGGCTGATACAATTGATAAGGAGAATACTTGTTATCCAAGTTAGTGTGCAATGTAGATGAGGTTAAAGTCTTTTCTGTTTCTGGGACATTGGAAACGGGTGGATTGTGTAATAAGAGATTGTTCCTTGGTGATAGTATACGTCTATAATTGTTTCCTATCGACTTGCTCATAATGCTAAATAGAGATCATATGACTAAGTTGTGGAATATGAACCTTATATCAACTGTGACCCTGATAATCTAACCAGGAGAATTAGAGACCTCAATTGATCATGCTGATTAGAACCCAGGAGACGTCAAAAGCTACAGTATTGTTGACATTGTTGGTTACATTGTGTGGGAATTGAACAACTTCTCCACATCATTTGATTTCATACCATAGCTCTGTTCAAAGAGCCATCGAATATGTTGTAAAACATTGTGACATATGTTAAAGAGATAATGTTCAAATCAGGACAAATTTTCCATATTTATTATATTAATTGTATTGAGTCTTTTGCTTCTTTTTGCAGAAATCCTTCTACAATAATTTTACAAACTTGTTTTCAAAATATTTTCAATGTACTTAAACTTCATTTTCCAGAATGATGATCATTATTAGGGCACAGCTACTATCTCTGGTTTAATCGCACCTGATCTCTTTTCATTAAAGTCTTTTTAGCCCCTTTCTTCATGAAACAAACATTTGACAAATTTTATTTCAGGAAAAAGAGGCAGGTGCCATTTTATATTTAGACAAGACAGGACAGCAGTGGTCCTGGAGTTGAGGGTGCAGGCAGAGAGACAGATTGGGTGTCTTCTGCATTCATATGGAAGTTGACCCCATGTCTGTGAACGATGTCGTCAAGAGAAGCATGCAGATATTTAACAGGAGAAGGCCAAGGACAGAGCCCTGAGGAACGCTGCACAAGTTGGAGTAGAAGTCATACATGGAGACAAAGTGGAGATGGTGGGAAAAGTAAGATTTGAACCAGTCAAGGGCAGAACTGTGAAGATTGAGCTGAGAAGAGAGGCGGCGGAGAGGATAAGGAGGTTGAGGAGACGGAGGGATCCCTGGTCACAGGTGGACAAAATGTCATTTGTCACTTTGACCAAAGCTGTCTCTGTGCTGTGGGCAGCACGGCAACCTGATTGGCAGGATTCATAGAGGGAATGGTAGGAGAGGAAGGAGCGAAGCTGGGAAGTGACGACTCATTCCAGAACATTGGAAAGGAAAGGGAGGTTGGAGGTGGGGCAGTAATTTGAGAGCAGAAATGGGTCCAGGAAATGGTTTTTGAGGATGAGGGTGCTGACTGCTGTTTTTAAGGGGGTGGGAACAGTGCCAGTAAACAAGGAGAGGTTTATAATATCTATTGTTGGAGGGGAAAGGAGATGGAGCAGGGAGATAAGGAGAGGTAAGGGATGGAGACGAGGGAGCAGGTGGTGGGCTTCATTTTCAACATGACGGAAGTGAGAGACGATGTTGGCAAAGCTATAACCTGCCTCTTTTTATCTAGCAATAAGTAGGAACCCAGTTGTTAGTCAATTGGCGGATCGCTTTCCAGGAGTAATAATCCCTCCAAAGAACTGGTCAACCTAATCCACAACTGCTTGTGGGATACTGCTGTGTGCAATTATCTGCTGCGTTTCACCCACAAAATACAGTCAATACATTTTACAATATATTCTGTGGAGCGCTTTGAGACTTCTCAACGAGGTGATAACAACAACAACAAAATTAGATTTGTATAGCGCCTTTCACATCGGGAGGACGTCCCAAGGTACTGGACGGAATTACGGACCCGAGAGGCTCTGCATCAAATGCAAAGATAATTATTTACATGTAAAACGGAGCTTTGAGTCGTTCTACCACTGTCAATGGAGGAACCGCTTTCACGCCAAAGAGATTCGTGTTGCTTGCAATAAAGTCTGGGCTCTAGTGACTGAGAATTGGTGCAAGCTGGTGCATGCTTTAGGGACGCTGCTGTCAGTCACAGCAAGAAATTTCCGAGGAGGAGATTGATGCTCTTTGCTGCTCAGCGCAGACAGAGTGTGTGGAGAGGGCAGGACCGCCTCCTTGGGTGATGGACAGTGGCCGCCTCCACCTCGCTGGTTGCAACTCGCTGTTAAAAGGCGAGTTCGCTGCAGGAGGGAGTGGAGAGATCGCCAGAGACACCGAGTGACAGACAGACAGACAGACAGGTAGGTAGGTAGGTAGGTAGGTAGGTTGGTTGGTTGGTTCTCAGGCACACACACTGCATAGTGTGGAGGTTCCTCCCCACCAGTCAGGAAATGCACATTTCCGTATAGGCGCAGAGGGTGTCTGTCTCAGGGTGACTCACCACCGTTGAGTTTCCTCAGGACTGTGTGTACAATCGAGAGGGAAGGTAAGTTCATGGAGTGTTTCCCCAAATCCCTAATAGAACACTGTATCTGGTATACTGTGTGTGTGTGTGTGTGTGTATGTGTGTGTGAGTCTATGTGTGTCTTGTGACCAACTGAGCTGTTGTAAGATTCAACTTAACTCCAGCTGTTAGGATCACTGGGAACAATGTTTGAAGCATTTGCAGATGTGACTGTTTATGTGGGATCGCCAATAAAATATCATCCACAGAGAGCAAAACAGATAGTTCCAAACGTAGAGGGTCCAGGTTCATTTTCGTAAAGACATGAAACATTACAGGTGAATTATGGAAAGCCTGGGGCATTCTATTCCTTGTAAACTGACAACCTTTAAAAGTAAAAGCCAGCGCTTTGGGACGTCCTCCCGACGTGAAAGGCGCTCTATAAATGGAATCTTGTTGTTGTTGTTGTACCGAGAGTCAGGATGGACAGGGAGTGTTCAGACTCCATTTGACAGATCTAGTGAGGAAAGCACTTTAGCTGCCGGAGGGAATCTGGAGAATATGTCCATCTGCAGGAAAAACTGCTGCAGGAGTACATTTGTTTAACTTTCTAAAGTCAATCGTAAGGCGCCAGGATCTGTTCGGTTTCTTTACCAACTCTATTGGATTATTACAAGTGGAGTGACATGGTTGCACCACATTCTGCTTTGTAAGAGAATCTAAGTCTTCCTGGATAGGATCTTCAGCCTCTCTGGGAAAATGTTTTTGAGGAGTAGTTGAGGGTTTATGGATTGTCAATCTGAATTACAAAAGGGAATACAGAACCACAATCAGTTTTTGAAGTAGCAAACAGTGGCTCAAACCATTTGAGGAGCATTATAATAGGTTGATTCTTCCAATCATAACAATCCGTTAGGGAATGGAGCATTTAAGAAAAGTGGTTTGCTCTGGTGCTTTGATGGGAAGACAGTAGGGTGGGTGTTCTGGAAGTTTTCTGCACCTGAGCCACTCTTGTGATCTTGTAAAAAGGGAAAATTTAAGGGTGTTAATTGAAGGCACAATTGTAGAGATATTTTTAAACAGGATTTTAAAGGCAGGAAGAGAGGAAAGCAAGAGAAAATGATTTTGAAAGAGTTACAATATGGAAGGGCTTAGTCAATAATACTAGGATAGAAAGCTTGGGAAGCCACCAATAGAATAGAGGGTAAAAATTCTGGTTGATCTTCCTTTGAGTGACTTTCATGATGCCAGTGTCAAATGGTTTTAATTTGGAAATTGGTTATCGGCAGTTGTTGTGGACAAATAAAGTTTTTTTATTCCAATACTTTGTACTCATCCAAGACTCAGACATATTCAACAATGAGCCTTTATATTTTTTTCTATCAATTCAGCATTTACTCCTGGGAGTTTGACATAATCTAATGCTTTATTGGGAGGGAATAAATAAATGTCTTCTTTTTAGTCTTGGTTGAGGCTTCTTGATTTTCTTCTTGTGTCCCATGCTCCATGACACTCACAGATTTAGAGATGCACATTAATTCAGAAGAGAGCAGCAAGGGCAATTATAGGACTCAAAATCTTGGTGTGGAAATAGATCAATGGGGTAAATGCAGCAGTACTTTTTGGAGTTGTAATAATCATATTTACAATAATAAATAAAAATCCTTGCATTTGATATACTATCTTTCTTGTCAGAAGGATATCTCAAAATATTTCACAGAATTTACTGTGGAGTGATCCTGTATTTGGCAAGCAAACACGGCTGGTCGTAGGACATTTGCACGCAGCAATGTCTCACAACCAGCCGTGAAGAGAATGCCCTATCTGGGGATTTTTGGCCAGGAAACTGGGAGAAATTCCCTTTTCAAAAAATGTGTCTTTAACGCCCATCTTAACAAGCAGACAGAAACCTTGGTTTAACGTTTCAACCAAATGATGAGGAGGCCTCATTTCACACCTATGAGCAGTGTAATTAAATATCCAACATATCATTAAACCCAATAGTTTTGTATTTTCATGACTCTTTATTTGTGAATGGTTGAATGGAATTAGCTGCTGCTATTGCCTTTAATAATAATATAATAATCCTTGCATTTGATATAGCACTTTTTACGTCTTCTAGACGTCTCAAAGCATTTCACAGAATATGTTGTTAAGTGAATTACTGTATATTTGTGAGCGACAACAAAATACACTGTCACTACTCTTTACAGTAAATCCTGTGAAGCACTTTGAGAGGTCCTCCCATTTTAAAAGCTACTAAATCAAATGCAATGCTTATTTTTATTATTATTATCATTAAATGATTTCATGTTTATGAGCGCAAGTTATCTGCTGGTCCCCTTAGAACCACCTATCATGTTGTGCAATTATTAGTTAGTGTGATAAGGGATTTTTTTGCCTCACTGGGAGTGTAATGTTTCTTGACATAGAAATCTTTATTTTTATGATGATTATTAATCATCCTTGTTTTATCACTGTGGCAACAACGCAACAATAAAGGATTCAAAACCTTGAGCAATCATTATGGTGATAGATGTGGCTGAATTATAGGAGAACACTACCAAGCTTGTGACTTTTTATAGGCCAACTTTTATCTCCAATTGGGCGGACTGCAAAAGGGAACAGATAAACTTCCTAAGAGGATTCTAATCAAATAGAATAGATGGATGTTTGAAAAGAGCCATGTGAAAAAATTGTATGATTAATGAGGAGATTGGGATTAGATAAGTAGCTCATATGGAGAAAAACACCTGCGTAGGCTTGATGGGCAGACAGCCTATTTCTGTGTTGTCACGTTTCCATGATCCAGTTATCTTTCCCCTCCCCACCCTCAGCATGAGTGCCAAGTCATTATTGTTAAATAAAAGGCAAAATACTGCGGATGCTGGAAATCTGAAATAAAAACAGAAGTCGCCGGGAACACTTAGCAGGTCAGGCAGCATCTATGGAGAAAGTGAGTTAATGTTATTGTTAAATTTCTCACATTCTCACAAAGTCCTCCTAATATAAAAGGCATTGATAAATTTGTATTTGGTTCTATAAAATAATTTTGTGTTTTATTTTCTCTTGTAGATTTCAACCATGGAGGATCTGAGTAGAGTGAATACCCATTTCACTCTAGATGTGTTCAGGAAGCTGAGTGAAACAAATCAAGTTGGCAATATCTTCTTTTCCCCATTGAGCATCTCAACTGCTTTGGCCATGGTTTATCATGGAGCAAAAAATAACACTGCGTCTCAGATGGCAAAGGTTTGTATTAAATCATTTTTTTCAAAAGATGTAGGTGCAAGTCTGTAAAAGCAAAGATCTGATGACCCAGAATTCAGCCATTTTATTTTCCAGCGCTAAACAAAGATCACCTTCATGGACATCAGATCACTGTTCATGTCGTTGTCTGGTTTGGGCATTCATGATACAGAGGAATTGATATTGGCAGTGGGGACCTGAATGTCCCTGAGGTCAATGTTGGATAACCCTTAACGAGGAGATAGAAAATTAAGTGGGTTCCAATGAAAGAAGACCAGGAAGTATAAAAAGGGATTCTGTGAGAACAACTAAATGTGGATTTTTGGGTGGAGTTAAGAATAAAATAGTTACCTTATACACCAGACTTGTGAGAATCATTACAGTCAGCCTTTTTTCTGGTGGTGACCAGCCTAAAAAGCATGCTGGCAGCTGGGTGTATTTATGGTGAAAACAGCTAACACATCTCATTTTTGGTGTGAGTTGGTATTTTATGAGCGTGAGACACTCTTATAATATGGTTCTACTGTACTGTTAAATGGGAATTCAATTCTATTTGATTCTTTAAATGCGAAGAATGACAAATGTTCTCAGCCAAGCTTGTTGGTGTATTGTGGACAAATCAATTAGTTTGTTAAAATTGTTCTGTAAAAGCAACACAATAGAAATACAGAAGTATAAATCATCAATTCCAGAATACAACTAATTCATAATAAGAATTTTGCATTTGATATAGCACCTTTCAATTTTGGGAGCATGTCTCAAAGGACTTCATAGGATTTCTTGTAAAGTGTATTCACTCTATCTCTGTGGAGTCCTGTAGCTCAGTGGTTAGAGCACTCGCCTCGCAAGCAAGTGTTAGGTATCAAGAAAGGTCACCCAGCATTCCGTTTAGGCAAAATCTGTTTAGCCAAACTTTACTAGTTCTATAAAGTTACACCATGGAGGGATTACAACAAAGCAATGCTACCGCGGGACGAGACGTTCAGCAACCGAGGTTCCAATCTGTCTTGTCTGGTTATTCAAGCTTTTGATCTTCCATCAAGTCTTCACTCGTGCTGCTCCGATCTTTTCCTTCTCCTCGTTCTTTGTTCTCCCTATCTTTATACTCTCATTCCACTCCCTCTATGCCTTCCACCAATCTCTTGTCAGTCATTTACAATCCGTTATTTTACATACCCTATCTTACAGCATTCAATGGTTGGTGAATATGTTACAATCCCTCATTAACATATCCAATCATATGTTTCCTTCAACCCTCTTTCTTTGTACTGACTCCATAATTACATGATCACATGTTCCATGACCTCTCACCCATTTTGACCCATTGTTAGTATGTTAATTTTGCACACCTTATGCTAACACAAGACACCTGGGTTGGATTCCCTGCAAGGCAAGTTTCCTTACTCCATACACTGCTGTTTATCTAGCAGTAAGTAGGAACCCAGTTTTTAGTAAATTGACGGATTGCTTTTCCGGGGGTAATCCAGAACTCTGCAGCCCGTGTCCTCTCCCACACTAGGCTCCATGACCCTATCACCCCCATCCTCGCCCGACTCCACTGGCTGCTCATCACATAGAGGGTACAGTTCAAAATCCTGGTCCTCACCTTCAAAGCCCTCCAAGGTCTTGCACCCTCCTACCTCTGCGACCTCCTAGCCCCTACCATCCTGCTCACTCTCTCTGCTCAGTGGACTCCGACTTGCTTCACGTCCCTCGCCTTGTTCGCCCCATTATTGGTCACTCAATCCATGATTGTTTGAAGGCAATTGGCTGTCGCGATTCGCTTACAATATATCCAGTCAATTCACTTTACAGAATATACTGTGAAGCACTTTGAGATGTCTTGAAGATGTGATATATCAAATGTAAGGACTATTATTATCTTGTTGGCAAATTTAATGTGCTATGGTTAAAATATGATTGCAAATTTATGAAAAGGAGCCATCAGAGGCTGCACATTCTATCTTGTCTTAGCCCATAAGACCATTTTATCTAAAAATTTAAGATTGCAAAATTGTGGAAGATTTAAATTTTGACTTCATTTGGAAGTTGGTTTATTTTAGTTTCTAAATTGATTCTGAGTAATGTTAAATTATAAGGCAAATAGGCTCCCAGGCTGAGACAAAGTGAAATTTACATCTGGTGCATATATAGAGGCGTGCAAACAAACACAATCAGTATGCTTTTAGAAAATAATTTTCAGGAATTTGCTGAAGCTCTACAAATGCATGCAGACATATTTTCGCCAACAATTTTAATGATTTGTGTCTTGAAATTGCTCAATGTACTCTAATTTCTGCATCGCTTAATAATAAGTAAACATTACGCCATTGTATTTTGTACCTTTAAGAGAATTACTCATGGAAACAATACTAAAGGTCAACAGAAAATGTGTTGCAACCCAGTGAAATAGGAACAGTGAATAATATGATTTGCCTTAGTTCCACTCTTATCTTTGTCCATTATCTAACAAATGAAGTTTGGAATAGTATTGGGTAATATTGTTTGATACCAGTGTGAATTTCTCTCTTCGTGAGATCTTTCAATGTAGAAACATTTCTAGTGTTACTATTTGGCTGAAACTATTGTGCAATTTTTGGGCCGCACTGCATTGACAGAGGTGAATGAAGTATTGAGCAGTCCCATCTGTCTGTTCTTCAGATGGACGCTGAAGGTTCATTGACACAATTCCTGCTGTTCAGATAAATTGATCATTCACCTCACAGCTGTTTGTGGGACTTTGCTGTTGAAAATGTTTGCCGTAGTTTAGTTATAAAAACAGTTCAGACACCTGACAGCTTCTACTCTGTGATATTTCAATGTGATATGGTGTTAATAAAATAATAGTTCTATTTCAGCATTATTATATAATATAATATCAATATGCCTGGCCAATACTATTTAAATATTTAGTTCTTAATAATAATCCTTGCATTTGATATAGCGCTTTTCACGTCGGGAGGACGTCCCAAAGCGCTTCGCGCTTCATCATGAGACAAGCTCCCACCTACTAATAAGAACTTTTGTATAGTTAAGTAGAAAGCATCAGGCTAAACCAGTTTTGTCTATACTGCAGTCATGCATTGGATCCACAAGTTAATGTTTGACATTCCTGCACGTACACAGTGCACAGGAAGTGATGATGTGGTGGCCATTTTGACTGCACCCCATTAGTATGCGATTTTGGGCTTATGGACACAAAGCAGCATATTATAACGGGGTTCTCCTGTATAGTTTTCTATATACATTCTCGCTGGGTAGATTAGACACTCAATCTGTGACTGTTTGTGGGATATTACTATGTGCAATTGGTTGCCGGGTTTCGCCTACAAAATTTACAGTCAATTCACTTTACAGTATATTCTGTGAAGCGCTTTAAGACGTCTCGAAGAGGTGATAAGATCTATATCAAATGCAAGGATTATTATTATTATAGATGGTTTCTTCAACTTTTTTGCTAAACTTTTCATTTCTATGACATCCTCTGTGGGAAGATTAGGGTTTTCCACTGTGGTGGAATTTTATTGCCTGTTTCTCAAAATGGTGTTTTTAAATTGCATAAAGTGCTCTATCTAGTGGCACAGACCAGAATTGTCAATGTTTCCCTTTCACCATTGGAAACTCTTGACTCTTTCTCGAAGAGACCTAGGTACATCTAATAAAAATAATAATAATAATCCTTGCATTTGATATAGTGCTTTTCACATCTTCTAGACGTCTCAAAGCGCTTCACAGAATATGCTGTAAAGTGAATTGACTGTATATTTGTGGGCGAAATTCTGTGTATATGGTGATGTTTTGGGCCTCAGATTCTTGCAAGGGAGTTAGAAATGGAAGATGAATACTTTAGATTTTTTTTAAAAGTTAATGTTTTGTTTATACTGTAATGAAGAACTGAATATGGTAACTTTGCTGCATTAACCATTATTATAATAATAAGAAGAAGAATTAATCCTTACAGGGGTATGTCTTGAGGTGCTTCACTATAGAGTGCAGTGACTATATGTTTTGTGGACTAATGTTTCTCACCACGATACTCACTGTTGATTTTGTTTCTCATTGTTCTGGTAACAGGTCCTCCACTTTGACCAAGTAGCTGATCTCCACTCCGGATTCCAGACACTGCAATCTGACATCAACAAAGCTGGTGCTCTATATGTACTGAAAACCGCCAACCGACTGTACGGAGAGAAAACCTTTAACTTCTTTGAAGTAAGTTCCAAGTTATAACGGGGATGTTAGTATCTTGTTCCACTGCCTATCTGAGGCTCAAGACTTTGGCTTGGACCAAAATCCCATTGGAGCTGCAATCTCATGACTGGGTGCCATATAGATGCACAAAACATTTTGCTGATGACCATACAGCAGTGACAAACAATACAAATTTACATGTGTATAGCGCCATACATTGAGGGTATGTCCCAAGACTCTTAACAGTCCTAGCTTGGCACCGAACTGAGGATGGGAGCTGAGGGAGTTATTGGAAGTGAAAGATGATCGAAGGTCTTGAAAGAAGTGACTGAGGGAGCGAGTCAGAAGGACTATAGGATGGAATCCCAGAGAGTGGAGGCAGAAAGGCTGATGCTGCTGAAGTGCTTTGTAGTCGCCAATGTGTATCTGTTGATTTATAACTCTTGAACTTGCAATGATTCTGAATTGGGTGGTACTGCCTAACATTCCTTATCTCTATTATACAGGAGTTCATTCAAACCTGTGTTAAATTGTATGGAGCAAACCTGCTTCCAGTTAATTTTCTTAGTGCTGCAGATGAGGCAAGGCAAGAGATCAATAAATGGGTGGAGGACCAGACTGAAGGTAAGTTTCTAGAAGTTGCAATTATGAAGAAATGAAAGTACAAATATTTTGTCTTTTGGGGAAAAAAAAGAATGGATGATCTATGCAGGATCTGTTTCATCTGTTTCTGACCTGCTAACCACTTATCAACCTCCGCTCAGCATGCTCTGGCCTGCTCAATTTCCCCCGCCTGGGCCACCCCACCATCAGAGGTTGGTCCTTCAGCCACTCTGCTCCCACCCTGTGGAACTCCATCTCACATTCCCTCGTCTCGCTCCCTCCCTTACCACCTACAAGACATGCCTCAAGACCCTCCTCTTTGACCGTGCCTTCGGCTGCCTTCCTACCCTCTCTGCCCTACACCCTTCCTGATCCCACCCCATCCCCGCTCGGGTCCTTCCTAAACCCTGACTGTACCTTGGGATGTTCTCCCGACATGAAAGCCAGGTGACGAGAGGTCAGGCTTTGCTGAATCAATGACTGTAAGCTAAATGACTCAGTCGAGTGGCTGCTGTCATTCACTGCCAAGGCTCACACATTAACTATGGTCTCTTGGGCAGGGCCATGGTGGGCAACCAGCACCTGTAGAACTACACCCCACCCTGAGGGGGCCTGAACAGGAGCAGAGGGCAATAGTGAACAAATTTAAAAAAAAACACTAAATTTATAATTAACAAACAAGTTGGTTCCAGTTTATTGGGTTTACACTGGCATCTTTGCAGCTTGTTTAACATTTCTAGGAACTCAAATGTGCAGGAACCCTGATATAAAAAGGGATCACATTGTCACATTGCGGTAGGCTTGACTAAGGATATTGTGTCTATGAATGTTTATTTTTAACCAGGCAATCCTTATAAAACATTCTGTCATTTAGCTCACTGTCATTGATTGAGACATTGATAAAGAATAAGGCAGTTGGAGAGGTATCTCTTCACTTTAATTTATTGCTGTCAAGCCAATGGTAAACAATTGTTAATCCTTGTAATCACAAGAGTGCTTGACAGTGAGTGAAATGGGAGCGATACTGACAGCTGGACCTGAAACAAACTTTTCGCGATCAAAGGAGATATATAACACTATTCAATGGTAAAATCTGTCTGTGTTCTGCTTAGGATTTGCATAATTCTAAGAACCTTCTGCTTTAACTGATACTCAAGGGTGGGGTCAAAACTGAACTTTTTAGCAAATCTTCAGAGGTAAGGGTTTTATTTTGAATGATTTTGAAAGGTGTGGCCAATGTTTAACCCTTAGAACATGTTTTGTATATTTTTTCTCTCCATTTTGAAATTCCAAATTTAAATTGTATTAAATTCCTAAAGATACCCAACTATTTTGAGGGGCATGTTTATGCAGACAACAACAACAACAACAAGATTCCATTTATAAAGCGCCTTTCACGTCAGGAGGACGTCCCAGACATTCACTTCTGTTGTGAATTATTGTATTGAATATACTTCTATTTAGGTAAGATCCAAGACCTGCTGGCTCATGGCTCAGTGGATCATCTCACGAAACTGGTCCTGGTGAATGCCATCTACTTCAAAGGAAGTTGGGCTGAGAAATTTGATGAAAAACTAACGGAGGAGATGCCATTCAAACTTAATAAGGTATTTAGACTGCCAAGGTCCTATGTCCCAATAGATCAATTTCAAGATTCGTATCCTCACCTATAAACCACTTCACACTCTACGACCTCCTTATCTCTCTGATCTTCTCCTACCCACTCTCTCATCTACCATCCGCTCAAAAATTTGGGCCTGTCCAGCATCCCTTGCACCCTCTATCCCACCATTGATGGATGAACTTTCGGCAACTATGCCCTGAAACTCCCACCCTCTACCCCTCGGTCTCGCCCATCTCTATCTAATGCCTAACTACCTACCTCTTTGACTGCCCTACCGTCACTTCTCCCCTCCCCATCCTCTTTTTTCCTTGCTCAGTATCCGCCCAGTCTCTGTGAAGCATTCAATCATGAAGGGTGATCCATGAATGCAAGTTGTTGTAGACAATTTATATCTAATTACAACATAAAAGAATTGTTGTATGTTTGTAGTGGAATTTCCATTATAAAGGCATTATTAAATGGTTGGAGTATATCATATCACATTTGTCAAAATTACCAATCACTTTGTTATGCCTTTATAATGGAATTCTATATACAATTCCTATATATAGTAATTCATGTATAAATTGCCAAAATTACCAATACTGATTCTGCACTAGGTTTGTTTTACTTTGATTTTTAACAATAGAATTTGTTTACAGCAGAGAAGAAGGTCATTCAGTCCACCACGTCTGTACTGGCTCCCTTGAGAGCAATTTTTTCACTCCCATTTACCTGCCCTGCCACCACCCTCCTGTAGCTGATTCTTTTTATGGATTTGTCTTGTTCAATGTTTTTTCCCCCTAATTTTCCTGCTCACCCTAAAATGTGAGAAATAAATAATAAATATAATAATCCTTACATTTGATACAGCGCTTTTCACGTCTTCTGGATGTCACAAAGTGCTTCATAGAATATGCTGTAAAGTGAATTGACCGTATATTTGTGGGCGAAACGCGGCAGCCAATTGCGCACAGCAGTAGTGTTGAAAATGACCAATTTTTTTTTGATTTGGAGGGCTTATTATTAGGTGTGTGGAGTAAGGAAATTTACCCAAGGTTTTGCTCTGCCAGGAATCAAACCCAGGTCTCTCACTTGTAAGGCGAGTGCTCTAACCACTGAGCTACAGGACTCCTAAATATCAGTTTAGATGTTAATTATATGAATATTTCATTTTTGAAAATCTTATTTAATGTTGACTAGTACAATAGGGGTTAAATTAAATCCCTTTTATGTGGCAAGTTCCTTCCCTGACATTCTTATTAATATGAACTTGACTTCATATTAATAAGAATGTCTGTTCTGCATCCTACATTCCCTCTGCTTTAGTCCCACCCACGGTTCCCACGCTGCTCAGGTACTTATAGTCTCTCCAAGCTTGGCAGCTTCCTACAACAGCCCATGAACCGGATGCCTAGGTTGCGCACTGGTTCGATGAGTCTGAGGGAGAGCCCAGGGAGGTTGAGGAGTTTAGATCTGACCACTTGGCTTGGTCAGATTTAAACTCCTCCACCTCCCTGGGCTCTCTCTCAGACTCACTAAACCAGTGTGCAACTTAGGGGTCCGGTTCGACCCCCAGCTATCCTTCCTCCCCCACATCCATTCCCTGACCAGGACCCCCTTCTTCTACCTCCGCCACATTGCCCACCTTCGACCAAAACCTTTGTGCATCTGTTTGCCACCTCCCGCTTAGATTACTCCAATGCACTCCTCACTGGTCTCTCCAGCCCCACCTTTCAAAAGATCCAGCTCATTCAAAACTCTGCCGCCTGCATACTGACCCGGACCAAATTCCGTACCCACACCTCACCAATTCTGGCCAGCCTTCGCTGGCTTCGCATCACCGAATGGATCGACTTCAAGATCCTCACACTCGTGTTGAAATCCATTCACTCCCTGTTACCTTCCTACCTCTCCGACCTTCTTAATCCCCAATCCACCACTTGGCTCCTCCCCTCGACTGGCTCTGGGTTCCTGCTTGTCCCTCACAAACTCCACCCCACCATCACAGGTTGCGCTTTCAGCCACTTCGCCCCAAAACTCTGGATCACTCTCCCTCAATGCCTCTGCTTTGCCCCCTCTCTCTTTTCTTTCAAGTCCTTTCCTCTTTGACTGTGATTATGGCCACCTCCCCACTCCCCTGGCTCAGAGTTAGGCTCCGCCACTGTTTAGTGCTCTGAGACACTACCTTGCATGAAGGGCGCTATGTAAGTGCAAGCTGTTTTTGTAGGTGTCAGCTTCCCTTTGTTCTCTCTGGACCAGCAGCCAATATGTGAGCGCCAAAGAACAAAGAGGTTTTCTCGACTGCAAGTGGATGTTCTCCCAGGAGTATCTGTTCATTCCTCCACTCCTAGTTTAACAATGGGCATTTTTTTTCTTCCTTGTGTGCTGAGAAAAAATTAACAGCAAAAAATAACTTGAGGAGAAATATCCTGATGCCTTTTATTCATGGAATCTTTCCTTTTATTAAAAAAAAATTGTCATTTACAATATAATGCCTACACTCAACTCAAGAGATATTGAATCGTTTAAAAGCTATTCCCACACAAATAGCATAGATGTATTTAAGAGGAAGATAAATGTACATGAGGAAGAAGGTTGAGAAAGATATGGGAGGGAGTAAGGAGTAGGTGAAGACTTGTGTGGAGCAAAACACCGGCCCAGTCTCGTTGGGCTGAATGGTCTGTTTCTGTGCTGTATATTCTATGAAAATCTATGTAAACCTTTTGCACCATTTTTTCAAGTACGACTGTTTATGGAGATGGTTTTCCACAATTCCATTTCAAAAAGGTTATTTTCATATATTTTACCTACTGCAGAATGAAAGCAGGACAGTGAAAATGATGTACCTGATGAAAAAATTCCGCTTCAATTACATTCCCGAAGTTAAGTGCAAAGTTCTTGAGCTTCCGTATGTTGGGAAAGAGCTAAGTATGATCATCATGTTACCCGATGACAATGAAGATGGCTCCCCTGGACTAAAACAGGTAGAATATCTTTCTAACTTTTTTTAAAAAAGAGTTTGGACATATTACACAGAATCGTACTCCACATATGTATGTACCAGATTCTATCCCATAGTTAAGCAATGTTGATCACAAACCTGTAACAAACTGTAATAAAAGGATTTATACAGTAGTTGGTTTTCATGTCAGGAGGATATCCGAAAGCGCATTCAGTATGCTGAAAGGGCACCCGAGCTAGGGTGGGAGCCTTGGGGGTGTGTGGCTTCAACCCCAGTTGTTAATTACCCTCTGGGTAAAGAAAAAAAGCTTCCTTATATCTGTTCTGAAATTGCCCTTTGTAACTCTAAACCCCTTGTCTTACTGTATTGGTGCATCTTAATGTGTTGTTCTGGGTTTACTTTCTCAATCCTATTTCATATTTGGTAGACCTTTTATGAGGTCCCCTCTGATTTGTTGTTTCTCAAGACTGAAGAGCACTAGCCCAAGTTTGTTAGCAGGTTAGAAGGATGGCATTTGTATTATTTGCAGGAAACTATTGCCAATAATTCATGGGCCATTATTTAGTTTGGTCAAAAAATATTACAGAATTTGATTAGCAACATAATTGTAATCTAAAACACCAAGCTCAATGAGGATGCAAATTTAAAGGAATTGGGTCTTGGCCAGATTTTAATCTATGATCAATTGTCTTTATCTCATTGCTTGTCTCCCTGCTTTGAAAAATAATCTCAGCTCAGTTGTCCTCTGCTACATGTGTCAAATGTTTTTGAGACTTTTTTTGGCTTACATAGGTCAGGTCTGTTCCTGATTTTCAGCACTGGTTACTAAGAAAGGAATACAAGAGTTTAAGTAATGGGAAATGTCATCTCTGTTATAATTATACTTTATTTTCAGAGCTAATAACCTTATGAAAACTCTACAATGATCATTTTCTATATAATAGCTTTATTTCTAATTATTTATCTGCAAAATATTCTCTGTATACATTTTTTTAAGTATAAGCAACCTATAATGCCACCATTGCATTGGCACCTCTGAGGTTAGATACAGAAACGTGACGTGCAGATCTTCTCATGCTCATAGCCTTGCATTTTAGATTGTGTAGAAGTTTGGAAAATTAGAAGATTCAGATTTAATTTGGAAAAGAGCTGCAGAGCATCAGCTTTTAAATTAAGACTAAATTTAGGAATTGTGAATCTCAACTATGGACAAAGCACTTGTGGAATATCTCACTTTGAGCAAATACATAAAGCTACATTGCAAAGTAAGTGGTCCCAAGGCAAAGACCATGAGAAATTGTGGGTTTTTGGTGTCTTGTACAAGTTCTGGTCCCGGTGTTCCAGTGTTATCTGCTCCTTGTGGCTAATGTGTTTTTAACTTGGACCACCAGCTGGAGACAATGCTGACATTGGAAAACCTGCAGGAGTGGACAAAGCTAAACTGCATGCCTGTAGAAGTTCACGTTCGTCTGCCGAAGTTTAAGCTGGAAGATAATTATGAACTGAAGCCCATTCTTTCTAGTTTAGGCATGCAGGATGTTTTTGATTCCGCAAAAGTAGATCTCTCTGGAATGTCGGGATGTCGTGACTTGTATATGTCCAGAGTGGTCCACAAATCATTCCTGGAAGTGAATGAGGAAGGTACGGAGGCAGCAGCTGCTACCGCAGCAATAGCTTCGTTTTGTATGTTGACCAGAGAGGAGATATTTACTGCTGATCGGCCCTTCCTATTTTTCATCAGGCACACCAAAACCAATAGTATTCTCTTTTTTGGTAGAGTCTCTTCTCCCTGAATGACAGTGTGTATAAAGTTATTTCTGCAGCAAGAAGGTCTGAAGCAGAGTTTGCATTTCTCAGCCAATCAATATGGCTAACAAATATGATCCAATAAATATGAATATAGAAAACATTTGGGTTGTTAAATTGCTTGCACTATGAACAATCTTTTCATAAATAAGATTGTTTTGAAACTTTATCAATAAAAATGAATGTAAAACTATTGTTCTGCTCGTTTTTTGAATGTCATGATGGTTAGTTTTATAATTCTTATGTTTCTTTAACATTGAATTTATAACAAATGGAATAAATTGTAAATAAACTAGCATTAAATGACTTAACAGCAAATCACTCTGTGTAAAGTCTTTAAGGGATTCCTTAATGCAATTGTATTACTCACTGAATTCTGATACACTTCTAGATACAAAATGTTGCTTTCAACATGATGTTGCAACCATCATGTACTACCATTTTTGGTGTGTTCAACTTATGCAAAACATACCTCTCAGAACTTTCTTTTTATCTTTCCCCTTCACACACCCCCTAGGCTCCCACCCTAGTTCAGGTGCTCTTTCAGCATTCTGAATGCGTTTTCGGATGTCCTCCTGACACGAAAGATGCTATATAAATGTGTATTGTAATGTTTGGTGCTCTTAATTTTAGAACTGACCCATGAACTGGTTTGACTTTTTAAAATTCCCATGTAACATCAAAAGAGAGGAACAATAAATGTTAAACATTACTGTACATGCAAGGATTATTATTGTATGTTTTAAAAAATCTTCACCTTCATACCATACTGATCTGTGTGTCTCATTTTGATCACAACTCCCCAGATTTCTAGAGTAGTGAACATTTCCTTTGGCACAATAAAGAGGGTTGATATATTTCACTCAGTTTTGCTCAGAGGTCAGCTTTGCTCAGAGGTAGGACCCTCACCTCTAAGTCAGAAGGTTGTGGGTTGAAGTCCCACATGTGCATTCCCGTCTGCCCTTTCAAGTGGAGGTTAAAAATCTAATGGCACTATTCGAAAAGAGAAGGAAGTTTCTCCTGATATCCTGTCCAATAATCCCCCAAATAAAATTGGTAACTCATTTCATGCCTGTTTGTGGGACATTGTTGTGTGCAATTGGGCTACCTTGTTTGCTTATAAATATAGTCACCACATTTCACAGTACAATCCTGTGAAGTGCTTGGAGACATGCTTCTGACAAGATAATCATTATTATTATGCTGGCACAAATCACTGAACACTGGAGCATGCTGGGGACTGGAGAAAGGCGGTTGTTACTCCTATTTTTTAAGAAAGTTAACAAAACAGACCCAGAATACAAGACTAGTAAATTTGACATCCATTGTGGGTAAATTATGGAGATTCTTATTCAGGATAAAAGCAAAGAGCAGTTTAGCATCTCATACAAAGGACGGCACCTGCAGCACTACACTGAATGTCAGACTCCACGGCTTCCACGACCCAACGTGGGGATTCAACTCACATCTTTAAGACCCAGAGGTGCGAGTCGTACCAACTGAGCCAGCCTGACACAAGACATCCGTTATGACATATGATTGCTGTGACAATTTATAACACATTTAAGAATCAGCAATATCATTCTTGAATATAATCAAGGATCTCAAATTATTCTAACTTCTCGTTCCACATGGTACTGAACAAATAATGTATAGGAGTCATATATATCAATACCATAGTCCATACCAATTTTCTATACAGAGGCACATTCCCCAAAACATTCCAATCCTCTTACAACATAGACCTAGCCAAAGATCTGTTTAAGACTGTAATGGTACAAATACAATGGATGGGCTAACAGCAAGCAAAAGTTTTATTGTTAGAAAGTAAACTTCATACCCAGTAAATTTTTTCCATCCATTGTGGGTAAAATTATGGAGACTTATTAAGGGTAAAAATCACAGAGCACCCCGGCAGAGATAAAGTTATAAATGATAACCAATATGAATTCATGAAGGGGAGGTTTTGCCAATCTAAATTTACTGATTTTCTTTGATGGTGTGACAAAGGTCTTTGATTTCATCTCCTCTTCTCTGGATTTCAATTTTCTACTTTCTCCTCTGGGTTTCCACTTTTCTACTCTTCTCCTCTGGTTTCTATGACATACTTTTTTTTTCTTTCTCTGAGTGACCAGCAAGTTGGTGGGGAGGGAGTTGAAGCAGCAGGTGGTGGGTTTCATGGAGGTGATGGTGGGTGAGAGGAAGGAGGGAGAGATGGGGAGGAAGGAATGTAGGATGGGGGTGGTGGTAGGAGCAGATGATGGGGAGGGTGAGGGGGACAGAGAGGCGTAGTGGTGGGTGATAAGAGGCAGGTGGATGAGGCAACCTGGCGGATGTTGTTTATTTTAGATGAAAAGTAGTCCATGACCTCCTCGTACTTGGCATTGGATGTGAAGATTGAGGAGGCCTGAGGGCAGGCACGGAGGTGGTAGGATTTTTCCGCCATCTGTCCTCGAGCAGCCGGGTTTGGATTTTAAGCAGCGGAGATGGTTGTTGTACCAGGGGGATCGGGTGGGTTTGTAGATGGTTCTGGATTTCAGGGGGACAAGGGAGTTGAAGGTGGAGGAGAGGCTATACAAATGTAATCTTCTTGTTTTGTTCTGTGCAGTGCTTTGAGATTTCTTGAAGGCATGATAAGGTGCTATATCAAATGCACGTAATATTATTGCATTCGTAGGTATTTATTCTTGTTTTGGTGAGCTGGGCTATGTTTTCAACTCTAAACTGGCCTTTAAAGTTGAATGTGAACAAGACTGAGGCCCTCCTGATTGACTCTCGCCAGAGTCTCTGCACCTCAGGTTCTGGCAGCATCAACCTCCATGGTTGCGCACTTCAACTCACCAAGCCAGTCAGGAACCTAGGTGTCTTGTTCGACTCTCAACTGTCTTTCCTTCCCCACATTCAAGCCATGACCCGCTCTACATTTTCTCACCTCCGTAACATCGCCCAACTCTGCCACTACCTCACCCTTCACGCCACTGAAACTTTTGTTCATGCTATCATCACTTCCAGGCTCGACTATGCAAATGTCCTGCTTGTCGCCCTTCCCAACTCCTCCCTCCACAGGCTGCAGATATTCCAGATCTGCGCAGCCTGTGTCCTCCCCAGCACCAAACTCCGTGACCCCATCTCCCCAATTCTCACCCGACTCCATTGGCTCCCTATCCTTCAGAGGATCCGATTCAAAATCCTTGTCCTCACCTACAAAGCCCTCAATGGCCACACCCCACCCTACCTCTGTGACCTCCTAACCCCCTACCAACCAGCCCGCTCCCTCCGTTCAGCCGGCTTTGGCCTGCTCCATGACCCCCAACCCACCCGCCCCACCATTGACGGGAGAGCCTTCAGCCACTCTGCCCCCAACCTCTGGAGTTCCATTCCCCAATCACTCGCCCCCTCCTTAGTCTTGTTCAAGTCCCGCCTCAAAACCCCTCTCTTCGATCATGCCATCGATCACTCCCCTTCCCCTCCCCTTCCTTTTCCCCCCTTGACCCCAGCTCGGGTCTGAAATGCTGTAACCTGTCCAGTGCTTTGTGACGTCCTCCCAACATGAAAGGCGCTATACAAATGTCATCTTGTTGTTATTTTTGTGGTATACAGTTGATAGTATTCTTAATATTATCTGCATTCTCCAGTGAAGCTTTGTGACTGGTTCACTGTGTACCTTCTAGGTGGATGATAGCAGGCTTGGCGTTTAACCTGTCCATTTCCATCACGTCACCTAACCACTTCCTTGGTCATCTGCCTCTTGATTTGCTGCCATCAATGTTTCCAGGCATAAACAACCCCCACAGCTGTCCCTGTGACTCGCAAACAGTGTGGCTCTAGTCTATCAATTTGTTATCGTGATCTAATCCTCGTTTCTCTCTTTTCTGTTGCTAATTCAGGGGCCTTCTCTCACCTCAGACCTTCTTCTGATACAGCTATTTTCTAGCCTATATCTGTAACAATTGAACAGAAAAGTCTCCAACTTTAATAAAACAAATAGTGAACAGCAAATTAACTACCGTACAAATATTCTCTAATACTGATACACAGCTTGTCTTTGATTATTTTTGGTCGTAATTTGTCTAGTAATGTTTGGAGAAAAAAGACTAGAATCCCAATTTGGGATTCATTTGGAATTGAGCAGTTGTTTCAGGAAGAAATGAATTTGGAATAAATTAGACTTCTGAAGAATATGAATTTGCAACTGTATCAAAGGCAATTGCTCAGAGCAGCAAGACTCACTCCTGAGCACACAAGATAATACCTAAAACCAGCAACCAGAGCATCGAATGAAACATAAGAAGCTAATCTCATTGTCCACAAGAAAAGCAAAATCCCCTTAATACATAACTCCTTTGTCACACCAGATTAGCAGCAGCTGGTGCTCAATTTCTCATACATTTCCAAATGGAATTTGCTGCTATCTCGGCCATTGTAACTTCAGCAACAGAGATCCTGACCCATGAGGCAATTTACCTGTACTTTTATTTTTTTAAGCCATGTTTACTTATTAATGTACTGCTGTATATTACATTTAGGGTTATGTAGGCAATCAACATTGAGTATCCTCTCCTTCATTAGGCTCTGTGAGCCTATCTTTCCATCCTCGCTTGGCTCCACTGGATCCTCAGTCCTCAGCAGAGCAAATTCAAGATCTTCTGCTTCATTCAAATCCCTCCCTGACCTAGCCCCACCCTACCACTGCAACCTTTAGGCCCTCCACTCATCAAAGTGCTTTGAGAAGCTTTGAGATGTGAAAGGCTGGTTATATCAACTGCAGGGATTATTATTTTAAAATCCAGCCTGCTGTTCAACCCCTACCCCACTCTTGTCAAGTGAGCCACTCTTCCCCCCACCCCCCATTTAGCACTAGATCCCAGAGTCTGCCTGCCCACTGCCTCTGTAGTGTGTTCTTCCTGTCTAATCATCCTCTCAACTAGAAACAAGTCTCCTGCAACATTAACCTATTTTCTGTTTCTGATGGTGATAGAAGTGGTTTCTATTTTTATTTTTCAATACTATTGTTAGTTTATTGACATGATGGAATACGTAAGCGGTTTTAATAATAATAATCCTTGCATTTGATATAGCGCCTTGTCGTTGAAACGTCTCAATGCGCTTCACAGAATATATTGTAAAGGGGATTGACTGTATTTTGATTAAAGAGACTTGACTATTCTTTTTGCAGTAGGTACTTGGCGTTTGTTATATTCTCTAGTCACTGAGCTCCTAAATATCATCATTGTAGGAAACATTTGTCAAGATCTTCTTCCACGAATAAAGTGCCCAACACTGATAATTCATGGTGAGAAGGATCCCATGGTTTCCCGGTTTCATACAGAATACCTGCACAAGCACATTGAGGACTCAAGGTGAGGAACAATAGGTGTAAATTTAATCTAACAGGTATGTGCTGCTTAATGGAAAAGCATATTCCCCAGAGCATTGTGTGTGATGAACAGAGGTGATAGGATTGTGCCTGATATCAGGATGTAGTAACGTAGCAAAATTCTCTATTAGGTACATTTTTTTTACACACATCATCATCCCATTCTTTGATTGTGTTATTAATTTCTGTACAATCTGCCATGTGGTTTGGGTGGATGTAAAGGGACTGTCCTGCTGTTGCTATTTCAAAGAAATGTGGATTCTTTCTCGAGGTTGTATTCTTAATCCAAATTTATCTCCAAGTTCATATGAATTGGTTGTTGTTTATGGGATGTTGTTGATGCAGATTAGCCCAGTATGCTAACAACCTTCACTTAATTTCTAATCAACAGTATTTTTGTAAATTGCTTATTTTTCAAATAAGAAAGACACAATATAAATGCAAATTATTAATATAGTAAATCTGTTCAATTCTGCAATAACCAATGCTGTAAATTCCTTTAAGCAAATTCAATTAGATTGCAATAATGCTTTTTTTGTTTGTGGAAAAAATATTACCAAGTTTAAAGAGATGGAGGTGGGTGGTGGAGGGGTTGGCGGTGGCGGGGGGTAGAGAATGACTTGGATAAAGATCAAATTTCGTTTCGCCCACAAATATACGGTCAATTCACTTTACAGTCTATTCTGTGAAGTGCTTTAAGATGTCAAGAAGACGTGAAAAGCACTATATCAAATGCCAGGATTATTATATTATTATTTGCACTGAGGCCATATAAATTACTATCTTCATTTCCTCCCTATTATTTTATTCCCCTTCTAATTCTGCTGAGCACACACTTCTTACCAGGGAGCAAGTGGCCCACATGCTCTCAGGTTCCAAACTGCTGTTCATTCTATTCTTAAATAACAACAACAAAATTACCTTTGTATAGCGCCTTTCACCTTGGGAGGACATCCCAAGGCACTGGACAGACAGAGTTACGGGCCCGAGCTGGCGGTCAGGGTGGGAGAGAGTGGAAGGCAGGGAAGGAAGCAGGGAGATTGAAAGCACAATCGAAGAGGAGGGTCTTGAGGTGGGTCTTGAAGGTGGGGAGGTACTGCAGGATGGAGTCCAGAGGGTGGGTGCAGATCGGCAGAAGGCTCACCTGCCAATAGTGGAGCGAGCAAGGCAGGGGACGTGAAGCAGGTCGGAGCCCGCTGAGTGGAGGGAGTGAACAGGATGGTTAGAAGTCAGAAAGGTAGTGGGGAGCAAGACCATGGAGGGCTTTGAAGGTGAGTACCAGGATCTTGAACTGTATCCTCTGTCTGATGGGAAGCCAGTGGAGTTGGGCAAGGATGGGGATGATAGGGTCACGGAGCCTAGTGCGAGAGAGGACAAAGGCGGCAGAGTTCTGGATGATCTGCAGCCTGTGGAGGGAGGAGTTGGGGAGGCTGACAAGCAGTGAGTTTGCATAGTCGAGCCTCAATGTAATTTAATTAAACTGCACTCTAGGGGGTGCTGATGATGCCCCAACGCACCTTCCTCTGGTTTTCTGTCTCCATTGTGCAGCATCCATAATTCAATATGTAAGGCAGTCACATGCAGGTTTGTGATCGTTATTCTAGGCTTGTCAGTAAATTGCATTGACCTTTGTTGGTTTCCACTTGTAATGGGATTGCCTAAACGTCAGCAAATTTACAGATATGTATTGAGAGAAGCAATAAGCAAGCAATGCAAGTTATAATCTGCATCTCAGTAACTCCTTTAAAACTGCTGGTTGCCCTCACCACCTTCTAAACAGCATTTACCCATTCTTTATTTATTCCTGTCTGCAGGTTGCACCTGATGCCAGAAGGAAAACATCACTTACACTTGCGCTTTGCTAAAGAATTTAATTCTCTTGTGGAAGAATTTTTGACCTCATGAGGCTAGAGGTTTGTGCACCAGGACCCCGAGCACTGATGGTGGAAGCCTAGAATCTGTGTCTGTAATTGGCATGTCTACTAGTCCATACAAACTTTGTACTTGATTGTTGGAGCCTGTCTTCTGCACAGAATGTACCTGAATCAATAATAATAATAATCCTTGCATTTGATATAGGGCCTTCTCACATCATTGAGACGTCTCAGAGTGCTTTACAAAATATACTGCAAAGTGAATTGACTGTATATGTTTGTGGGCGAAATGCCAATTACGCACATCAGTGTCCCACAAACAGTCATGGATTGTGTACGCAGTATTAACTCAGCACATTTGACAGTACAAGGGTTAGCATTTGGACAATGAGGACATTTCACAGTGTGGCACCGTGCCCTAAATTTGATCCAGTTTAGCGTTCTCTTCATCAATGAAAGGCACAAACACTGAGTCCTGTATCTCAGTGGTTAGAGCACTCACCTTGCAAGTGAGAAACCTGGGTTCGATTCCGGCAGGGGGAAACCTTGGGCAAGTTTCCTTATTCCACACGCCTGATAATAATCCCTCAACAAAAAAATTAATAATTTGGTCACTTCAATCCATGACTGTTTATGGGACACTGCTGTGCGCAATTGGCTGCCGCATTTCGCCCACAAAATATACAGTCAGTTCACATTATAGTATATTCTGAGACGTCTAGAAGATGTGAAAAGCATTGTACCAAATGCAAGGATTATTATTATTATAAACATTTGGGGGGCATGATGCACTTGTTTTGATTTACTGGTATATCCTAACTATTTACTTTTCATGTCTATAAATGGTACCTTGCTCTGACCAATTGATGTACTTATGTTGCTTTAGCATTTACCTGCCAGTGGTGGCTCATCAGCAAACAGCTCTGTAGCCTCTCTCACCATGCGGTCAGCAAAATTGAACTTTAAAGGTCAGTGATAGTGTAGCGTCAGGACTGATAGATAATGCAACTGTTTGCTATTGGACCCACCACAGATGGTAGCTGAGCAGCATTCTGCCACCCATCAGCTCTGACATTATCTGACTCTCAATAAAACAGTGGCAAAGCACTTAGATTGAAGAGGTCTGAAAATAACTCATGGATTTGATTGCAGGGAAGCACTTTGAGACATCCTCGTGATGTGAAAGGCGCTATATAAATGTAAAGTACTGGTGTTTTATTGAATGTCTTAACATTAATAATTTTGAAGTTGGGGATCAGCAATTTGTTGGAAAATCGACATTGTTGGACTTCAAACCTTCCTTATGAATTGCACCTTGGCCTCATAGAATGCCTTTACTTCCTCAGAGTTCAAATGAAGCTGTCATTATGAACACATATATATTCCCAGAAGTGTCCAGTAAACTTGAGTAACACCACTTCTCTATCTACTAACATCTTGCCTCATTCTATTTTCTTAATTTCTGAGATTCATTTCTAATGCACATGTTTAATGAAGGGAGGCAATGCCAAATTCAGCTTGTAAAGATAGAGCTTTTAAAAATCTATTTGCTGAGACCATGTTAGATTCCTGTATTGAATAGGATACTATGGCACTATTTTAGTCACAAACTGAGAGATCTCGTTACTTCTACCTGTGCATAATTATATAATTAATGCAAACTTGTGAACAATCAGACAATAATAGGGAAAAACTCCTAACCGGAAGATGAATGATAGAGAACTTACAAGTGGAATAAATATATCTCACTCTTCTCTCAGTGTTCAGAATACGTAATAGATAATTTCAACCTATGGGAGAAGCAGTAATTCCCTTCTACATTGGGGTATAATTTGTATTCATTTACTTTAAAAAGTGTCCATCATTTGATTAATATTGTGCCCCTTGAGCTGGTGAACAAAGACACATTTGTTCCAGTTGAAATGCTGGTATGTCAGTGCTAACTAAACATAAACAGAATGCATTGCATAAAAATATATGGGAGTTCAAATCTGTAGCCCAATTTCAGATTCACATTCTGTTCTTCAACAAGCTTGAAACTCTTCCCTGGATTAAACCAGTGAAATACACAACAAATTACATTTTGATATCACAAAATTCACACACAAACTGGTCAATAACTATTAATTATGTGAGGTCTAATTTGTGAAGTGCCCAAACTATATTTGTTGCTTGAAATGCAACTAAAGGTTTACAAACACCAGGTTGTGAATTTAAAAAGCTTTTTGACATGAACTCAGTTTTGTGTGTGAAATTCCTGGTACGTCACACTGACTCATGAAACTTCAGCTCCCAGGAGACTGTATATCAGAACTAAGGTCGCTCACGTCAAGTTTTAATTTTTGCATCAAAAATAGGTCAAAAGCATGAGAACTTTGATGTAGAAAAAATCTGCCACTGATTTGAGTTTTCTGCTCAGTAAAGGCTGAGGTTCTCTGCAACAGGACTGCAATGCACACACATTCCAGAAGCCTATAAAAAGGTGGTGAATTTGAGCATTTTCAGAAAAAATCAACTTGTATTTTATAGCATCCTTCATACAGGATAGCATCTTGGAACAGTTGCAGGGTTGGACACTGATCAAGAGAGAAAAGGGGTGGGGGCGAAAACATAATCATAGACCCAGTGAAGGAGATAGGTCTTAAAGTGGGATTTAACAACAAATAGAGGGGGCAACGTGGAGGGATTGAAGCAGGGAGGTCAAGAGGTTAGGGACTTTTAATTTAAAAATTGTTTTAATGGCCAACATTTACCAAAGAATCTGTAGTTACGATGAAAATCGTAACTATAACAATTGACTTGGAAACATCCCTAATCACAAATATCTGCTAAATCACAGCTTTAAGTTACAACACACCTCCAAAACACTTTATGTGTAGCACTCGTTACTCTTAAACCGAGTGCTGGCTCGCTGGTTTCTGCCACAGGGAACATATGAGATGGGATCCCATTGATTTACAATGAAAGTTCCCTGTGGGGTTGCACCGGGTGATAGAATGTCGAGGCATTTTGAGAACATATTAATGCTGGACTTAACTGGAATAGTCACTGCGTCCGTATTACGCTGATCTCCCTATCTGTGACATGAGTACATTAGATACATTCCCCAATGATATTTAATTGTGCTGAGATTTCACCAATTTCACATCACAAAGTTCCCTCCGATCAAAACATTGTTTTTAATGAGTTGCAACATTTAAACCAATACAAAAACATTACTAGTGTTTGGGAATGTCACTGCGGTGTCAGGGATTCCAATGAGCGCTACCTGTCGCAAAATTCTGAACTCTTTTAAAAACACCAAGGTTTACAAATGACAGCAGGTTCTGAATCAGCCTCACCATGCAAGCAGATCTAGGGATTTATTTATTTTTATTAAAAAGAAACAAGAGGACCAGAACAGTGACTTGGACGGGGAGGTGTGGTGGATGAGAGGGGTGGGGGTGGTCTTTTAAGGTTCATCATCGCCTTCCTCCTCTTCAAATTCGCCTTGTTCGTCAGCAGTGGCATCCTGGTACTGCTGGTACTCAGACACCAGATCGTTCATGTTACTTTCCGCCTCCGTGAACTCCATCTCGTCCATGCCCTCACCCGTGTACCAATGCAGGAAGGCTTTCCGGCGGAACATGGCAGTGAACTGCTCAGAGATGCGTTTGAAGAGCTCCTGGATGGCCGTGCTGTTGCCGATGAAGGTGGCGGACATCTTGAGGCCGCGGGGCGGGATGTCACACACGGCCGTTTTGACGTTGTTGGGGATCCACTCCACAAAGTAGCTGCTGTTCTTATTCTGCACGTTCAGCATCTGCTCGTCCACCTCCTTCATGGACATCCGGCCGCGGAATATGGCGGCCACCGTCAGGTAGCGCCCGTGGCGTGGGTCACAAGCTGCCATCATGTTCTTGGCATCAAACATCTGCTGGGTCAGCTCGGGCACACTGAGGGCTCGGTACTGCTGGCTCCCGCGGCTGGTCAGCGGGGCGAAGCCTGGCATGAAGAAGTGCAGGCGGGGGAAAGGCACCATGTTGACCGCCAGTTTGCGCAGGTCTGCGTTGAGCTGCCCCGGGAAGCGCAGGCAGGTGGTCACTCCGCTCATGGTGGCCGACACCAGATGGTTGAGATCGCCGTAGGTGGGGGTGGTGAGCTTCAAGGTGCGGAAGCAGATGTCGTAGAGTGCCTCGTTGTCGATGGAGTAGGTTTCATCTGTGTTTTCCACCAACTGGTGAACCGAGAGGGTGGCGTTGTAAGGCTCCACGACGGTGTCGGACACTTTGGGAGACGGCATGACACTGAAAGTGTTCATGATGCGGTCGGGGTACTCCTCCCTGATCTTGCTGATGAGCAGTGTGCCCATACCAGAGCCAGTGCCTCCGCCCAAGGAATGGGTCAGTTGGAATCCCTGCAGACAGTCACAGCTCTCAGATTCCTTTCGCACCACGTCCAACACCGAGTCGACCAGCTCAGCTCCTTCTGTGTAGTGGCCTTTTGCCCAGTTGTTACCTGCACCACTCTGCCCTATATAGAATACATAAATAATACGTCAAAAATACTTAAGTTCCTTTAAACGGTTAAGTGAAGTCCAATTAATATTGCATAGAAACAGCAATTTAGATTTTGTTCTCGGGTGATTGATTTTGCTAGTTATTGAATCAACCAATTTCCTCTTTCATCCTTCCGTCTTTCCCCTTCCCCGTCTCCTGGGTTAAGTAGATAAAGGGGGAGCGAGGCAAAAGGATTGAGGCAGGGAGTTCCAGAGATTAGGGGCATAGTAGCTGAAGACTGTGATGTAGAGGTCGGAGAGATATGGAGGTGCTAGGGTGCGGAGGAATCTGTATGTGTATAGAACATCTTTTGTCACTAAAACATCTCAAAGCACCTCAGAATTTTTCCACAGAGTCTAGTGACTATATTTTTACAGGATGATAAATTTAATAAGAGGATATCCAGATTAAAATTTGTGCATCTTTTACCTACTTATTGGGGTGATTGCTCGGTTATCTTAAAGCAATGATTTCAAAGTTGTACTTTGACTGGTTACTAGCCACTGATCCGAAAAACCAGCAAAATTGTTTTCCTTAAAAGTAAATAACCTTTCTTCCATTTTGTTTATGTTAAATAGATCTTAACATCTCAGTATTAGCTATAAATCTGGGGGTGGAAGTGGGGGGTGGGGCGGGGGAAAACATACCGAATACAAAATTGTCAGGTCTAAAAATCTGCCCGAAAGGTCCAGATCTGACAGAGTCCATTGTGCCTGGCTCCAAATCCACCAGAATAGCACGGGGAACATACTTGCTTCCTGTGGGAGGAATAAAATTGACAGTTAGAGTAATGCAGTCAATGCTGCTGAGTTAGCAACATCTGAACAAAGGACATCACTGTTCTCCAGCCAGCCGTGTCCCGACAATAAATAAGAGCATTGTGTGTGCAATGGGTTTAAATTAATTGCTGATCTTCATCAAATATACACTGAATCTCATTTATACTACGGGAAATGTGTACGTTTGTGTCCATCTTAAAGGCCACGTATAGTTACAGTGCTACAATCACAAGGCTGTGAGCAGGGATGAACAAAAGTTATTTGTGGTCATGGGAGGCATCCCACCCAAGCATGATCTGCTTGCATCCAATGTCCACAAGGGCATGCACTTTCCAGCAAGAGTCACTTGATTGTACTCAGCAGCAAGAACCTGGCTGATGTTCCCCTCCCTAACCCGGACACTGAGTCCAATCGTAGTATCGCACTGAGACCATCAACAATTAGCACAGACCAAGAGATTGAAGTTGGGATTGTCTTTATCCATTTATGCACTTTTCGGACCTCCTCCCGACATGAAAGGCCCTGTATACTTCGAACTTTTATTGCATTATCTGTGTAGTTCTGTTGCAACAACAACTTACTTTCAAGGGCTTGCACACCAGTAATATATCATTGATTTATAATTTATAAACTTCAGGCAATTATATTGTTGATTAGTTCTTACAAATACACCAATTAAGATCCCCCCTAAAGACATAGCTTACCAAGTCATTCCTCACATCACTTATGTGATAATAATCCTAGCATTTGTTAGAGGATGTCAGGAGGACGTCTCAAACTGCTTTACAGGATTTACTGTTAAATGCTATGATTTATTTTGTTTGAGAAGCGGCAGCCAATTTGTGCACAGAATCTGTCTAACAATGGAGATCAGCCTATCTGTACTTGCTCTAGGGACTGTCCAGCACTTGTACGTTGCCAAAATTGTACATTATTAATAATAATCCTTGCATTTAATATAGCTCATTATTTTATCATCGAAATGTCTGAAAGTGCTTCACAAGATTTTGTAGGAGCACTCAAAACTTAAGCATGACCTGTGGTCATCCTGAAGTTAATTGATTTGACAATGTGGTCCAGCATCATGTTATCAATACGATTACTTCAATTAAATACTACTAAATTGATGGACATAACAGTGAAACTTATGCACGTGACATCAATTTGTTACTGGACATTTCAGAACACATTGGAAGTGTCCAGGCTGGTTTCCAATGCAGTGATCATCAGGACATCTCCACAGAATAAGCATTCTCAATAATGCATTCCTAATCAGAAAGCTGAAAAGAGGGAACAGTGTCTATTAATTTGATGACTTTACTATACCAATTGGTTTATGTCATTGACGTATTCCTTTTGCATTCTATCTTCACAAAGTTTGGTAACAATATACCAGTTCTCCAAAGGAGGTCTCGAAACAAATTGTTGGGCTGCAGAAAACACAAGATTTCATTTAATTAGTTGAAGAAGTCTAGCAGAGTTGGGAATTATTTATTCATGCATGACCTTCTTAAGACCTATCAGCAGTTGGACAGATGCAAAACTATCCAAAACCTTCACTTTCTTTCCTATTTTCCATCCCGTCCCCTAGTTTACATCAGGAAACAATCTCATTCCTTCCCTTCAAAGCAAAATTAAGAAAAGGAAAATGATGTGGATAGTGAATGGAAAGGTTGTACAGTATATTTCTGTGGAATTGTACCTGCTGCTTCATTGTAATAGACATTTATTCTCTCCAGCTGAAGATGGCTGTCTCCGTGGTAGCTGCCAGTGGGATCAATGCCATGTTCATCGCTAATCACCTCCCAAAACTTGTGACACAAAAGGAAAAAGTTAATACATGCAGATATTTTGGGAACAACTCCACAGAGACCATTTCACCAGAAGACATACTGGAAATGACCAGCAGGTCACTCAGCACCCCTGAAAGAGAAAAACAGGTTAAAGTTACGAATATGATCCTTCATCGCAACTGAAAGTTTTGAATAGAGATACCGTATTAAGAATTAATTAGGGTAAGGTTGTTCAGGTGTGGACAGTTTTAAAGAGAAAGCTGGATCATTTTTGATGCACAAGGGGATCATGTGAAAGGGATTGCTGGTATTTGCATATAGAATAAACCTACACATTCATATGTTCCTATAAAGTATAAGCAAATCAAGAAGTTACAATTTAATAGCATTAACTATATACAAAACAAAACAGCTAATGGGCCATCAATAGGGTGACCATATGTCCCTGATTTCTGTGAGCAGTCCCTATATGAGGTATTGTGTCCCTGGCCAAATTTGCCCTGTCTTTAGTTCAGCAACAAACTGAACAAGAATAATAAAATACGAAAACAGATAGATTCATCAGAGAAATACAGCCATTAATCCACAAGCTTCTCCAGTTCTCCCAGCAGCAGGAATTGTGGCAAGGCCAATTTTTTTTAATAAGTATCCTCGGATTTAGTTTACCAAATATAGTCACCCTATCATTAGTAGGTTCTGAAACCTGGGAAGATATGTACCAGAGTGTGCACTATACAAAGGGATGAGAGTAGGATACGCAGCATTAATGTGGAGCTGAAGAGCAAGGGGAAGAATTCAAAGCTCACTCCCCTGAACATTGACTTAACTGCAAACCTTCATTGTCATCTCCATTTCCCATCCCATAGTTGTATCCCTTTTGTTAACTGTATTTGTTTTCCTTCTTCATAATTCACACTTATATAACTCATCCATACACACTAAAGTACATATTGTGTCTTACTAAAGAAGCATGTCTACCACTTGTCTGCAATCACCTTGGTAAAGTTTTTCTTCTTAAACTTCCTACAAATGCCCCTTTTTTCTTTTCACCCACAAAATATACAGTCAATTTATTGTGCGCATATATTCTGTGAAGCGGTTGGAAACAACTCAACAACATAAGGCGCTATAAGAAATGCAGGGATTATTTTCTTGATCTGGTTCTTTTTGTCTCCACCAGAGGTTTCTCCATACTAACAATTGCAGTTCTGATTAAGGGCCACACCCAAACATCAACCTTCGTTTCTCTGTTTGCAAGTCAATTCAGTCAATTAATTTCAACAATTTGGGATGGGGGGGTTGGGGTGTTGTCAGATTTACAGTATTGGCATTTTTGATCAATCTTGACCATTTTACCAGAGCCAATCTCCAAAACAAATTCATGTTGAATCCTCAAACGAATGACCTTTCTCTTTGACCGTGCCTTCAGCTCCCCTCTTGACTCTCTACCCCCTCCTCGCTCCCTCCCTTCCCTCCCCTCACCCTGACCATTTCCCCCCTGCTCGGGTCCCGACCCAACTGTACAGCGCCTTGGGACGTCCTCCCGACGTGAAAAGCGCTCTATAAATGGAATCTTGTTGTTGTTGTTAACCACCGCAATTCTGAAACCACATCTATTCCAGTCTATTGTACCTTGATGCTATTCCCACAATTTGCTGCCCTGAGGGAAAACACAAATTCACTTAAATTAAAGTCATGAGGAGGTCTTAAGACAGCTCAAATGGAAGATCTCGAGTGCAGAATTGCCTTAGAAACCCCACTGAGCTGCTTCTTATTCTTTACGACACTTAACTAGGAGAGTTTCACCATGGGCTTGGTTCAACTAAGTTCATCTTTTTGAATAAATTTGCCCATTTCCATTCCAGCTTGCATTTTAACAGCAGGTAGCAGTGACTGAATGCTTTGAATGAAAATGTATGTTTATTAAATGCGTTGATTGTTTTTTTTGGCAACAAACAGATGCTTATTATTAACAGTGCTTTATTAGTTAACTCAAATGCAATACGTTGACGTGATCAGAATAAACATATATATGCAGAAGAAAATGTATATTAACTTGACACAAAAAACTATTTTCCCATAAGCTGATAAACCCATTATTTTCCCTTTCCCCCTGAAACAAATATTGCTTGTGTCCTGTTTATAAGACCCTTGCCCTTAGCATAAGAATACACTGCAAACAAGCACTAACCTTAAGGATGGAAAAGAAAAACTTCTTTGAAAAACTGTGCCATGTTTCTATTCATTACATTTTTGATTTTGCTTCAAATTTAAAAAAAAGTATACCTTAGCACCGATCTGATTTCCACATTGTCCTGCCTGGATGTGCACGATTTCCCGCATTGTGGATGGCTTTCTCCTCTCCCTCTCTCTCTCTCTCTATCTCCCTCTTGCTTTCCAGCAGAAACAAGGGCTGCTCCTCCCTCCTGTGCTGCTCCTCAATTGGCCAACCCTGAGTACAGCCGCTTCTCCTCCAGTCCCAGCAGACAGCCCACAACCCCCATTGGGTCACCTCCGCACCTTATCCCAGCGCTGGGCTGACCAGCGCGACCCAACCAGCCGCCCTGTCAATCCTTGCATAGGTTCACCTGTCTCTGCCGATGCTGCTCTCCGTACCCAGCGCTGGTCGATGCCAAATCCCACCTGCTCTTAAACCACGTTATAAAATGTAAGATTGCACAGAACGAATTAATAATCCTTAATAATAATAATCCTTGCATTTGATATAGCGCTTTTCACGTCGGGAGGACGTCCCAAAGCGCTTCACAGAACACACTGTAAAGTGAATTGACTGTATATTTGTGGGCGAACATGGCAGCCAATTGCGCACAGCAATGTCCCACAAACAGTCATGGATTCGATTCCCAGCCGTTGGGCAAGTTTCTTTACTCTACATGCCTGTTTACCGAGCAATAGGTAGGAACCTGGTTGTTAGTCGATTGGCAGATCGCTTTTCCGAGGATAATAATCCCTTAAAGAAAAAATAAATTGATCACTCAATTCGCGACTGTTTGTGAGACACTACTGTGTGCAATTGGCTGCCGCGTTTCACCCGCAAAACATACAGTCAATTCACTTTACAGTGTATTCTATTAAGCGCTTTGAGACATCTCGAAGATGTGATAGGCACTATAACAAATGCAAGGATTAGTATTATTTGATATTGCGTCTTATCACACCGTTGAGACGTCTCAAAGTACTACCAGAGAATATCCTGTAAAGTGGATTGACTGTGTATTTTGTGGGCAAAATAATTGAGAGAAATGGGGCATGTTCATGACAGTCTTGATTTGAAGGTTGGTTCTTTTTCAGAATTCTGGACATCTGGCTCCCAAATTGAGCCTGAATTTATAAATAATACTTCCATTTGGTATAAGCATCTTTCGCCTCAGGAAGATGTCTCAATAACGCTTCAACAACGGCAACTTGCATTTATAAAGCACCTTTCACTCAGGGTATCGTCTCGGAGTGCTTAACAGTGGCAGAGCATGATGCTGAGCCATTGGAAGGAAGGAGGTGACAGCACCATCAAAGAAGAAAGTCTTCAGCCATGATCTAAATGAAGGGAAGGAGGGCACAAGATTTCACAGGATATAGTGTAAAATGTAGTGACTGCAGTTTATAGAATTAATTCACAATTCACAAATTTCACATATATTCCCCAATGTTTGCACAAATTGTGAATTTTTCTCAAATTAAGATTGCTCAAAATTGTGGAAAAGTCTTTAATTTAGTCTAAATTTGGAAAGCAATCTTAAATTTTAAGACAAAATGTACTTACAGGATAAGTTAGGTGGAATGTTAGGCCTCAGTTTGCCAAACGGATGTGAAGCAAGCAAACAAATCACACAAGTGTGAGCCCAAAGATTCACCCGGTCTTAACCTGTAAAACCATTTTTTCTTGAAAATAAGTTTGTATAGAATTGTGGGAAATTCTTTAACTTAGTCTAAATTTAGAATCCAGTTTCTATCAGTTCTTGAAAGAAAGTCTTACAAATTAAGGCTGAATTTAAAAATGTTTCCCCAATTCTGGTAATTCCTAAATGCTAATTCAAAATAATATTGCTGGCTAGGGCTAGGTGTATTCCAATGCCCTCCTCACTGGTCTCCCCAACTCTACAATATACAAAATACAACTAAATCAGAACTTCACCACCCAGATTCTCACCAGCACTAAACACTGTACCTCCATCACCCCAGTCCTTGTCAGGCTCCATTGGCTCCTAATTACTGCGCTTTGGGACGTCCTAATTTAAGTGCTTTGGGACGTCCTCCCGACGTGAAAAGCGCTATATCAAATGCAAGGATTATTTATTGTTACTGAATGGATCGATTTTAAGATCCTCTCACTTGTTTTCAAATGCCTTGTACCACCACCCACTCCTCCACCCGCTGTCTCCGCTCATCTGGCTCTGGCCTTGTTTGTCCCTCATCCCCTCTGCTCCACCATCGGTGGTCATGCCTTCAGCCACTATGCGCCGAAACTCTGGAACTCTCTCCCACAATCCCTCCATCTTGCCCCCTCACTCCCCACTTTCAAAACCCACCTAAAGACCTTTTTTGATCGTGCTTATGGTCACCTCCCCCATCTCCCTCGGCCTCTGGCTCAGTGTCAGACTATGACACTGTCAAGTGCTCTGGGACGCTGCTTCGCGTGAAGGCACTATATACACTCAAGGTGTTGTTGTTGTGCAATAGCCATATATAATAAAATGCAACAGAATTGGTGTATTTGTGTCAGAGGAATTAGTTGCACATGGTTGGCATCCTGTCCGTGGGCGTTGCCTGAGGTTGGATTTGTTCCGTCCGCCCACCCTATATACTCCACGATAAGGATGACTGCAGGGAATTACACATGCATGGCTTATCTTCTGTTTGCTTCTGTCACTTTGATTTGCGATTGAATCCACAAGGATGGGAAAGCAATTATGTGTGGTTTTAAAGTTAATCCTATGATTTCTTTTACACTACTACCAAAGTGGAAGTGCAGTATTTAAGGGTAAATCGTAAACAGTCGTGTTATACACCCTGAATAATTTAAGTACAGTTTTAGCAATTTCAGAACATTTGATTATTTGCTGGAAAGCAGCGAGTGCCACTGAAATAAAGGAGACTTAAACAGAATGAGAATTTCGACGTTCATGTGATTTTTTTTCCCCTGTTTTATCTGTAGTTTGTGTTGCAATTAGATTGTCGGTACAAGTTTTACAAATCAGATGTGTATTTTAAGACATGTTTTGAAATCTGCCTGCTGCCCAATTGGATTAGGGCTGACAACAACAACAAGAAGATTCTATTTATAGAGCGCCTTTCACGTCGGGAGGACGTCCCAAGGCGCTGGACAGTTGGGTCAGGACCCGAGCAGGGGGAAATGGTCAGGGTGAGGGGAGGGAAGGGAGGGAGCGAGGAGGGTTAGAGATACAATACTGTGTTGCTCTGAAGATGCAAAGTATAATCAGGGTCAGCTATGCTGATGTATTGGTAACAGCAGTGGCTCTGGTTGATATAAATCAGCACGTTTCACTGTGATCCAGCACCGGGTAACCCCGGAAGGTGACTTCATTGCGTCTAATGAGTCTCTCCATCCACTCATCTCTCGGGCAGCTCCTGACACAATCACAATCAGATATTTTGTGGCTAGTCAAGCTATTTCCGTTCTAAAGAGGAAAAAATAAATCTATTTGCTTGTAGGATTTCCCCCCCACCCTCCTGGTGACTAAAACATTGTGCGCATAGGCTGCTGTCGATGAGTAAAACAAGCCAAGTTCACCAGAAATATACAGTATCCCCGGTTGGAGGAAGAGCAGGGAAGGTTGGTACAGAGATAAAATAATGCACAGTGGTTAAATTAGCTCTTTGGGTGGATGTAGATAATAACATTCCGACAGATTCATTCTGTTTGATGAATCCTGGTTCTCATTGAACAAATCTTAATACATTTTATACAATTGCTTTTACTGTCAGCTGGGTACCGTTTGCGAAAGGACATCAGGAGTCTTAAACATGAGATTTACATCCAATGTCTAGACTAATCTTGTGAGTTATGGTCAGTTTCACAAGTGGGATCATTATTACGTCCCACATGTTTTCTGATCCCAGGTAAGGAAAAGATTTTTTTAAAAAACGAGATGCAAATTTTATTCTGTAAAGGGTAGCCAAGCAGTTATTCAGATTGTAGGTTCATCCAATTAAATGGACACCTTTCATTACTTTCTGGAAAGTGAATTAAATCATCTGCTTAGATTCTCTTAGTCCCAGTGCAATGACTGTGGCAGCTTTTTTTTATTGCATGACCGCTTTCAATGATTCTTTCTCTGAAATAGAAAACAAAACAAGGCAATGCATGTACAGTGAACAGAATATATATTACATATTCTTCAGTTACCATTATATTTTGTTTTACATTTAATTGATAAAGAAATTCAACCTGACTTTAGACTTTATGTAGAATTTTAGAGTGTCCCGAATTTGGCAAATTGGCTTCTCCTCTCACCTCAACCATCATGGTTCTGTACTTGAATGGTTCAGATCGTACCTCTCACACCATCTCCACTTCATCTCCACAAATGGTTTATCCTCTAACCCCCCACAACGTCTTGTGCAGAGTTCCTCAGGGCTCTGTCCTTAGTCCCCTCCTTTTCAAAATCTATATGCTCCCTCTTGGTGACATCATCCACAGACATGGGGTCAATTTCCACATGTGTGCGGATGACACCAAACTCTACCTCTCTTTCTCCACCCTCGACTCCAGGACCACTGCTGTCCTGACAGAATATCTGTCAACATCAAGTCCTGGATGAGAGCTCAGGTGCTGACAGCATCACCATCCATGGTTGCACACTCCACCTTACTAAGCCAGTCTGGAACCTTGGCTTCTTGTTTGACTCTCAATTATCCGTTCTACCCCACATCCGTGCCATGACACACTCTGCCCACATGACATGACACACGTTCTACCCCACATCCGCAATATCGCCCGGCTCTGCCATTGTCTCACACTGCAGGCCGCCAAAATCCTCATACATGCATTCATAACATCCAGGCTTGACTATGCAAACTCCTTGCTTGTCAGTCTCCCCAACTCCTCTCTCCATAGGCTGCAGATCATCCAGAACTTGGCAGCCCATGTCCTCTCCCGCACCAGGCTCCATGACCCTATCACCTCCATCCCCGCCTGACTCCAAAGGCTTCCCATCACACAGAGGATGCAGTTCAAGATCCTGGTCCTCACCTTCAAAGCCCTCTATAGCCTCCTCTTTGACCGCGCCTCCATCTATCTGATCCCAACCCCCAGCACGGGTACAAATCCCTGACTGTCCAGCGCCTTGGGATAACCTCCTGATTCGAAAGGCGCTATACAAATGTAATTTGTTGTTGTTTGCATTTGATATAGGGTCTATTACATTGGGAATGACATTTCAAAGTACATGGAATTTTGCTCTAAAGTGGAGTGATTGTTTATTTTGTAGGTGAACACAGTAAGCAATTTGTACACAATGAAGTAAATGACTAATTTTGGTACTTGGCGGATTTTAGCCAGAACATCAGGAGAATCTCCCTTCTCTTTTCGAGCAGGGCCATGAGATCTTTAACATTCTGAAGAGACAGAAGAGATTTCAGTTTAACGTCTCATCTGAATGATGGCGCCTTCAATCACACAATGCTCCTTCAGCACTGCAACAGTGTATCAGCCTGGCCTGTGCTTCCGAAGGTCCGATGTGGGACTTGAAAGCAAAATGGTTAAGCATATAAGGTCTCGCTAGCTTTATGCTATTTTTCTTTGATTGCTATACTGTGCATCTTGCTGCTGAAGATGAACAGAGAGTAATCAATCCTATGCTTAGCATTACATCTCTAAGATACATCTTAGAGATGCAGTGTTAGCGTTAGCGCACAGTAGAGCGATCAAAGAAATTTCATTGAAGGCGCCATCATTCGGATGAGATATTAAACTGAAATCTCTTCTGCCTCTTCAGATTGTTAAAGATCTCATGGCACTGCTCGAAAAGAGAAAGGAGTTTCTCCTGATGTCCTAGCCCAAATCCCCCAAATATGTGCACAAATTGCCTGCAGTGGAGTCCTGCAGCTCAGTGGTTAAAGCACTCGCCTCACAAGTTAGAGACCTGGGTTTGATTCCCGGCAGGGCAAAAACCATGGGCAAATTTATAAAAATAATAATCCTTGCATTTTATATAGCGCTTTTCACGTCTTCTAGACGTCTCAAAGCGCTTCACAGTAAAGTGAATTGACGGTATATTTGTGGGCGAAACGCGGCAGCCAATTGCGCACAGGAGTGTCCCACAAACAGTCGTGGATTGAAAATGACAATTTGACAATTTGAAAATGACAAAATAATAATAAATTGGTCATTTTCAATCCACGACTGTTTGTGGGACACTGTTGTGCGCAATTGGATCAAATGCAAGGATTATTATTATTATTATCTCCCCCTGCAGATGGCTGGGAGTAGTGAGGAGGGTGGCCAGAAACAACCCAGTCAACTGAACACTAGCCCACATGTAGCCCAATATTATGCGTTGCTTACTAGTGTGGGGAGGAGACTGGGCAGTTTAGGTGAGTGCTTTTTTTTGGCAGCTGTGTAAGAAAGGATCTTGAAAGGAAAAAAAATAGACATTTTTCAGGTTTAGACTGTTTTTTTTAAAAAAAAACAAATCATAAAAATGAGGTACCCGCCCACAGCCGTTTATTTAACACGCGCAAGTACGAGGAAACCCGCCCAATTGGACGTGAACCCGCCCAACCCGGGGGGGGGGCGGGGCGGGGCCCGGGGAGCGGTGATTGACGGGAAGCTCCCGGCGAGGTGCGCACGGCGGGGTGGAGGGCCGGGGTGTGGGGGCGGTGTGGGGGGCGGGGTGTGAGTGTGTGGGGGTGGGGCCGGGGTGTGGGGGCCGGGGTGTGGGGGGGGGCCGGGGTGTGAGTGTGTGGGGGGGGGGGGTGGGCCGGGGTGTGGGGGCGGTGTGGGGTGTGGGGCGGGGTGTGGGGAGGGGGGTGTGTGGGTGTGGACGGTGTGTGGGTGTGTGGGGCGGTGTGTGGAGGAGGAGGTGGGGGCGGTGGGAGGAGGGGGGGGCGGAGGTGAGGGGGGGGGGAGTGTGGGTGTGAGGCGGTGTGTGGGTGTGTGGGGCGGTGGGAGGAGGGGGGGGGGCGGGAGGTGAGGGGGAGGCGGGGAGTGGGGGAGTGTGGGTGTGAGGCGGTGTGTGGGTGTGTGGGGCGGTGTGGGAGGAGGAGGTGGGGGGGCGGGAGGTGAGGGGGAGGCGGGGAGTGGGGGAGTGTGGGTGTGAGGCGGTGTGTGGGTGTGTGGGGCGGTGTGGGAGGAGGAGGTGGGGGGGGAGGTGAGGGGAGGCGGGGAGTGGGGGAGTGTGGGTGTGAGGCGGTGTGTGGGTGTGGGGCGGTGTGTGGGGGAGGGGGGTGTGTGGGAGGAGGAGGTGGGGCGGTGTGGGAGGAGGGGGGGGCGGGAGGTGAGGGGAGGCGGGGAGTGGGGGAGTGTGGGTGTGAGGCGGTGTGTGGGTGTGTGGGGCGGTGGGAGGAGGGGGGGGGGCGGGAGGGGGAGGGGGAGGCGGGGAGTGGGGGAGTGAGACGGTGTGGGGCGGTGTGGGAGGAGGGGGGGGGCGGGATGTGAGGGGGAGGCGGGGAGTGGGGGAGTGAGACGGTGTCGGGCGGTGTGGGAGGAGGAGGGGGGGGGCGGGATGTGAGGGGGAGGCGGGGAGTGGGGGAGTGAGACGGTGTCGGGCGGTGTGGGAGGAGGGGGGGGGGGCGGGATGTGAGGGGGAGGCGGGGAGTGGGGAGTGAGACGGTGTCGGGCGGTGTGGGAGGAGGAGGGGGGGGGGGCGGGATGTGTGGGGGAGGCGGGGAGTGTGGGTGTGGGCGGTGTGGGGGTGTGGGGCGGTGTGGGGAGGGGGGGGGCGGGGGGGGGGAGGCGGGGAGTGGGGGAGTGTGGGTGTGTGGGGCGGTGTGTGGGAGGAGGTGTGGGCGGTGTGTGGGAGGAGGGGCGGGATGTGAGGGGGAGGCGGGGAGTGGGGGAGTGTGGGTGTGAGGCGGTGTGTGAGGGGGAGGGAGGCACCAGCTGGAGGTACCGGTGAAGATGGCCGCGGGAGAGCCGGGCCCCGCGGGGTTGGCGATACACAACTTCAGCGCGAGACTGGCGGAGCAGACGGTGGTGCACTTCCACACCCTGAGCATGAGGGACAGCTTCTTCCTGTGGGTGGGGGCCGCGCCCTCCCTGTGTAACCTGGCCGTGGCCATGTGCAGCAGACTGGTGAGTCCGGCGGCCTCCCCGCACAGATAGAGGCCGCATTGTTTTTTTGGGGGGGAGGAGGAGAGGGGGGGGAAGGGGTTGGAGTGGGGGGGGGGGTGGAGTAGTGGGGTGGGGGGATGGGTGGGGAGGAAGAGGGGGTGGGGTGGGGGATGGGTGGGGAGGAAGAGGGGGTGGGGGGATGGGTGGGGAGGAAGAGGGGGTGGGGGGATGGGTGGGGAGGAAGAGGGGGTGGAGTAGTGGGGTGGGGGGAGCGGGTGGGGAGGAAGAGGGGGTGGAGTAGTGGGGTGGGGGGTGGAGTAGTGGGGTGGGGGGAGAGGGGGTGGAGTAGTGGGGGTGGGGGGGGGGGAGGAAGAGGGGGTGGGGGGAGCGGATGAGGAGGAAGAGGGGGTGGAGTAGTGGGGTGGGTGGAGCGGATGAGGAGGAAGAGGGGGTGGAGTAGTTGGGGTGGGGGGATGGGCTGGGAGGAAGAGGGTGGAGTAGTCGGGTGGGGGGAGCGGGGGGGGGGGGGGGGGGAGGAAGAGGGGTGGGGGAGCTAATGAGGAGGAAGAGGGGTGGAGTAGTGGGGTGGGTGGAGCGGATGAGGAGGAAGAGGGGGTGGAGTAGTTGGGGTGGGGGGATGGGCTGGGAGGAAGAGGGTGGAGTAGTGGGGTGGGGGAGCGGGTGGGAGGAAGAGGGGGTGGACTAGTTGGTGGGAGAGCGGGTGGGAGGAAGAGGGGGTGGGGTGGGGGGGGTGGAGTAGTGGGTGGGGGGATAGGGGGTGGAGTAGTGGGGTGGGGGGGTGGAGTAGTGGGGTGGGGGGTGGAGTGGTGGGGGAGAGGGGCTGGAGTAGTGGGATGGGGGAGAGGGGGTGGAGTAGTGGGGTGGGGGGAGCGGGTGGAGTTGTGGAGTGTAGGGGGTGGAGTAGTGGGGTGGGGGGAGCAGGTGGAGTTGTGGAGTGTAGGGGGTGGAGTAGTGGGTGGGGGGAGCGGGTGGAGTTGTGGAGTGTAGGGGGTGGAGTAGTGGGGTGGGGGGAGCGGGTGGAGTTGTGGAGTGTAGGGGGTGGAGTAGTGGGGTGGGGGGAGCGGGTGGAGTTGTGGAGTGTAGGGGGTGGAGTAGTGGGGTGGGGGGAGCGGGTGGAGTTGTGGAGTGTAGGGGTGGAGTAGTGGGGTGGGGGGAGCGGGTGGAGTTGTGGAGTGTAGGGGGTGGAGTAGTCGGGTGGGGGGAGCGGGTGGAAATGCTAACACATTGTGGAGAGATTGGGCCTTTTGGCTGAGATCAAGTGCAGTCTCTGCTCTTATCAGTTACTCCCTGAGCTGCACAAGCGCTGCCGCTGCTGAGGTTGGTTTGTGAGGAGCATCACAGCCAATCTCACCCACTAATGACAAGATTATGGGAAGGATTGAGCGCCTGGCAGCAGCTATGCCTTCAGCCCTGTTGGCTGCGATTAGTATTGCGGTACTTCTGATCTGAGGAGTTTGATCAGTAAATAATAATAATAATAATCCTTGCATTTGATACAGTGCCTTATCACGTCGTCGAGACGACTCTAGGTGCTTCACAGAATATACTGTCAAGTGGATTGACTGTGTATTTTGTGATCTGCCCGTAGAGAGATACTGAAATAATAATAATCCTCGCATTTGTTATAGCGCTTTTCACATCTTCCAGACGTCTCAAAGCACTTCACAGAACACACTGTAAAGTGAATTGACTGTATATTTGTGGGTGAAACGCGGCAGTCAATTGCACACAGCAATGTCCCACAAACAGTCGTGGATTGAAAATGACCAATTTATTATTGTTTTTGTTTTTTGGAGGGATTATTATTAGATGTGTGGAGTAAGGAAATTTACCCACAGTTTCCCCCTGCCTGGAATTGAACTCAGGTGTCTACAATGCAGAGCTCGCTTGCATACTTGGTCACCAGGCGCAGGCTTGTCCAGCCAGAGAGGTAATCAGATCATCCGACTCGCTCACCTGGTCGTGAAGACAGGTACCAGGTCCGCATTGTCCTTTGACAATTTGGGGCCTATCTTGGTTTGGAGGAGTTGGCTGCACACACAGACGTGATGCGAATGATTAATTTATCTAGAAGACAAATGGAAAATGGGATAGAGGGGACAGGGGATGATGGGTTAAATAGGTGTTATTGATACAAAACAAGGGTGGGGGCAGCACCTCGCAAGCAAGAGGACCTGGTTCCGATTTCCGGGCAGGGCAAAACACTGGGCAAGGTCCTTACTCCACACGCCTCTGTTTACCTAGCAGTGAGTAGGAACCCAGTTGTTAGTCAATTATTATGATCATCAATTCCCAGTGCGAGTCATAAGCTCATGTTGATTAATTTCCTGCCCTTTCGTGGAATCCTGTAGCTCAGTGGTTAGAGCACTCGCTTTGCAAGTGAGAGACCAGAGTTCAATTCCGGGCTGGTCAGGGCGAAACCCTGGGCAAGTTTCCTTACTCCACACGCCTAATAATAATCCCTCCAAAAAAACAAAAACAATAATAAATTGGTCATTTTCAATCCATGACTGTTTGTGGGACACTGCTGTGCGCAATTGGCTGCCGCGTTCGCCCAGAAATATACAGTCAATTCACTTTACAGTATATTCTGTGAAGCGCTTTGGGACATTTAGAAGACGTGAAAAGCGCTATATCAAATGCAAGGATTATTATTATTATTTGTACACACTGCCTGTTGCTGAATTTGCCAACAAATGTCCACTTGACATCAATTACCTGCAAAGTGCTTTGAGACATTTCAGCATTATATGCACTACACCAAATGCAATGATTATTATTGAATACAGTAATTTAGATGCAAATAGAGCGTTGGAAATGAGTCAGAGCAATGTACAAAAAATTTCAGAATGAGTTATTTGGAGTGCCAGTAATTTTGAAGGTGGGACCTCTAAATTAGTGTCAGGATTTCTTTAATGTTGGAAGAGAATGCTGATGTCCTGGAAAACTAGCATATGCGTAACCAGTTGTTCTTGATTTACAGAACCCTATACCAGTGTCTACATTAGTTCTTGGAGATACCTCTGATACCACATCCAGTTCTCTAGCGCAACGATTAGGTAGGAACATTTCGCAATGTGTTTTAAAAAGAACTTTACATACAGTCAGGTTTGATTTTTCTTTCTGCCACTGTCTGCTTCCTTGTCTTGTCTCATTGCATGAAGTGCTGTCTTTCACCCTCTTCCCCCAACTAGTTTCAGTTGCTTGGTAATCAGCCTGTAACCTGGGTTGAAAACCAAAATAAGTTCATATATTGAACTTAGGGCAGGATTATAATACCCTCCTCCAGATAAAATAAGTCTTAAGACAAATAATAATTTCAGACCTCTGATGACCTCAGACCCATAAATGCGAACAGTGGAATGGGACACAGCGAAAGGGGGGTGTTAGGGCATGAAAGGATTATAGGTGAGAGCAAGGACACTAACGTCAATCCATTTTGATTCTGGTGAGGACTGGGGTGATGGCCATGCAGAATTTGGTGCGGGTGAGGATGTGGGCGGCGTTGTTTTGGATTAGCTGGAGCTTATGGACAAATGATGAAACTAGATAGACTAGTGAGAAATGCATTTGAGAAGTCTAGGCGGGAGGTGACAAAGGCACGAATGAGGGTTTTGGTGGCATTTGGTGTGAGGTAGCAGTGGAGATGGACAATATGGCAGAGAAGGTAGCAGTTTTGGTCAGGGATTGAGTGTGAAGGAAGGAAGAAGAGGTTTCGCGCTGGTTTCATGAGTTTGAGAAGGAGAGGGCAGGGAGGTTGAGGAAGTCAAAACTAGAAGTGAGGAAATGTTGGCATGACCTGAAAAGGATGACTTCCATCTTGTCCATATGCAGCTCAGGAAATTGAAGGTCATTGAGGCTTTGATATCTGACAGAACATCCATGAACTTGGAATCAACAGTAGTAGAATTATCTACATACACGTGAAAGTAAATCCTGTGACTGTAACAACAACTTGTATTTATATAATGCCTTTTCCCCCTTTCTCTTTGTGAAAAATGCTGTTCTTCACATTGGAAACAGCAGATAGTGTGCAATGCCACAGTGTCTGATATATTAAAAAAAAGTGTTGCTGTGGGGTGGGACAGGTTATTTTGAGGAATTAAAGAGAACCATTTTACTGTGTGCAGTCTGATGCATCGGTGCAATCTCTCTCCTTATGTGTATGCCTTTCTCTTGTTATCAATCCATACTGTGCAGGTTATATTATAATTTTAAAGTTGTTCCTTTAGCAGGTGCTGGTACAACTCTCTAAAAGTGATAACTGTTATTTCATTGAAACACAATTTAATCTATACTTAAAAATTAGGTTGTAACACCAATATCTAAAAAATATATTTTACTGTTATATCTATATCCAGCTAAGAAGACGGGCAAACAGGTCTTTGTCAGCTACAACCTCCCAAACACCAGCAGCAACACAGCACTGGAGGTGGAAAACCGAATCAAGCAAGAAATGGATGCTCATCCAGAGAAATTCTAATTGTAACTAATTATTATTTTGTACTTTTTTTTAAAAAAATGACTTTTGGCATATTTAATAAAGTGTTAAAAACTTTCCTTTATAGGTGTTACATGAATTGGGAATCAAATACTGATTTGAAGGTTTTGGAGAGATCATGGTAGAGCAAACTTTGCTGTTTACCCAAAAATGTTGAGCATTGTGATGGAAATGTTATCTTCTGGAGGCTCGGGTGTGGGTGAGGAAGATAGGGCAGCAGTAATGCAATAATTGCTTTTGACCCTAGGGAGGCAACAAATCACACCAGGGTATGTCTGATCACTAGCTAGTGCCCTGTGTGAATGAACATATGTAGAATATATGTTAATCATAGCCAATTCAACCATGCCTTTACCTGGCACAATGTTGGGCAAGTTTCCTTACTCCATACCTCTGTTTACCTAGCAGTGCAAAGAAATTGGTCACTTCAATCCACAACTGTTTGGCTGCTGTGTTTCACCCACAAAATATACAGTTAATTCATTTTGCAGTTTAATGTGAAGTGCTTTGAGATTTCTTGAAGATGTGACAAGGCACTATATCAAATTCAACAGTTATTACATTATTATTTCTCCTTTGCCCCCCCATTTCTGGATAGCAATTGGGAGGAGAACTTCAGGCTGAATTTGAGTTTTCCTCGTTTTGCATTAGCATATCTCAGGTGATGGATGCACTTATGGTTCTGCAGCAAGACTGACAGCAAGTGCATAGTCCAAAGCATCATTTGTCTCACATCAGTATGAAGTATAGATGGTGAGACAGTTTTCTCTGGACAATGTCACTGCATGGTGTGCCAATTGAGGCCTTCAGAAGCCTTCATGGAGGTCTGCATGTATATCATGCAGTGACATTGACTAATGAGTCACTCCATCCTATAAAGGAGACTCCGACCCTGACCACCTCCAAATGCACCGAGAATTGCTCCCACAGAATATTCATTCATCAATGATCACCATCTGTGAACCCATGTTTCAATGAACAAAAGTTATGATATTCTCTGCTCAGAAGATTCTTACAATTGCTATGATCAAATGCAAATCAAATACTTCACATTTTAAAACTTCTTCCAACCATTGCTAGTGGTTGGATGAGGGATGGGTTTGCTTTTGTTAATGGTTTTACTGATGGAAAATTTATAATTTTACTTCCTCTATCAATCAGTATGAAATGAGGTATTTTATAGCCCACTTGCACTTCATTTTGTTGAAGAGGAAATTAGTCTCATTCAGAGGAAACGGCAGTTTAAGCTTGTTGAATTACCCAGTCCATGCAGGTGCTACTTCTACACCCAAATATTGCATGTGGTGTGGAATAACTGTAAATATGCAGTAGAATTCAGACTTCAATGCTGTTTTGATTATGACAAAACTAGGTGGTGTATGTCTATGTACTTAATGCATTAATAAATGGACAGGTTACCTATTCATTTAGTCACTTAAGCTTCAGATTTCATAGCTGACTTTGCCTTCCATACATCAGACTCTGTTGTAGTAACCAGCAGCAGGCCCAGATTCTTAACTTTGCCTTGAACACCAGAAAGAAAGACTGAGGGATATATAAGGTCAGTGGCAATAATAAATATAATTGATTATAACTGGAGGCTGAACAGTGGTTGTTAATGGGGGATCAATACTCTGTCAGTTGTCCTGTCACTTGTTTAATACTGGGTCAATCTGATTGAAATTGACCCTATAAGGCACTATCAACAATTTACACTTATATAGCACCTTTCATGTTAAAAACAAGGTCTCCAAGTGCTTCACAAAGACAGAAAAGATCATTTCTCAAACTCAGCCAAAATCACAGCATGCACACATGTTCTACAGAATGGAGAGCAGTAAAATTATGTAGACAGTGAAAGTTATAAAATTGGCATACTCTACAAGGTGTCCCAAACAGAATATCTCCACAATAAATAATGGAATATATCTGCACAGAATGATCAAAGAGGATTTTTTTTTTTTTAAGATGAAGGAACATTGTCCACACTGCAGCTTGTTTGGTGTCTGCCCCCCACCCCATTCCATCCCGCAGTCCTTCCACCTTGCCCCCTCCCTTGCTTCCACAAGACTCATCCCAAGACCCTCTTTGACCGTGCTTTCAATCACCTTGCTCTCCACCCACCTCAGTTCTGACCCACAGCTCGGGTCTGAAACTGACTGTCCAGCATCTTGGAAGGTCCTCCCACGGTGAAAGGCTCCATACAAATGTAGTTGTCAATGCAACATTTTTAAATGTAAACTAAATTGAGAAAGCCAGAACAGTGCTTTGATGCATCAAGAATTTAGGTTCAAATTGGGAATGGCAATTTTTGACAGCCCACCAGGAAATTTCTTTACAAAGGCTAATTAATGTCAAATACATTATTGGGAAGGCTATTGAAGTCAGGGAGAGAGGCTGATTTAAGAGTTAGTTTCGGTGCAATGTAAAGTTGGTTTTCTGGAAGCTAGAGTTTTTTTTAAAAAAAGCTTTAAATCTCCAGGATCTGGACCCCAAAAACTGTTTTACACAAACAAGACAGAATCAAACCAAAAATGGAACTCATCAGCCCTGAAACCTATCAGTCACTTCAAGAGAAAGCACATATTGGATCTGGCTGCAGCTCCTTCCGGCTCAGTGCCAGGCTGCAACCAGAATACACACCGTTGGGTAATGTATAGAAGACAACACCAGCTCCTCAACCTGTATTAGAGTGGGGTACAGTGTAATTGTCAGTGTTCTGTCAATCAAGTCACCTCCTTCAATAGCCTAGCTTGGACATCTAGCGATTTGAAAGGAGCAGAAAAATATTGGAATTAAATCAGGGCAGACTGGCTATATGAGAAATCAGGAAATTTTTCAAGTGCCTCGATAAATGGTTCCCAAGCTCACTATGATTCACTCCCACTACTTACCACCCCAGAGAACACATTCTCTTTGAGACAAAGTCATAAGGCACTATCAAATGCAAGGATTTATTTTAAAAGATACTGTAATTCACAATCAAGTGGGAACAAGTGTTGAAGTGCCATCTTCATGCACAGGGGGGCAGTATTCAAATTTGTAGAAATTGTCTGGAGCATTGACCATTCTGTTTCACTGGTAAGTCTGGGTAAGCACATGCCAGGATTACTTCTCTGCTATCAAAGTCTGAAGCAAAATAATTCCCACAGAGTAAAATAAAGAAAAATACAGTGAATGAAATTACTTTTATTAAAAAAATCCACCAGTTGAGTGATGTGCAATAATTCTTCAATGAGTAGCTGTGCAATTTACTTTGTGTTCCAGCACATCAGGGACACTTGTAGAGGGCTCAGATATAATGCTAGGCCACTAGAAAAATGCAATGGAAAACCAGCACCACAAGTCAGCAGCCCAGCTCAAGATGTTCAGTGTTTAACCTTCATTTAGTAGAGAAACGGTTGAGAATACGTACCATAACCCTGATATTTTTTGCAATACAATATTGCTTGCAATAGTTCCCCATTTGCAAAAAATACATTACTGCCTGAAATATTAAATTACTGCATGGAGGGAAAAAGGTCTAAAAATTCAATCATGCTTTGACACTCAGACTTAATTTACAACTGTACAATTTTGTTTGAAACTTAATAACAATGCCTAGAATTACAAAAAACACCATGGATTTACAGATGAGATCTATCTTAAGTGAGACACATGTAAGTGAGATGTTTTAAAGTGAGGGAAAGGAGGTGGCAAGAATACTGGTTCTGAGATTCTATTAGCTACTTATCAGCTGACAGAAGAAGCAATTAAGCAGTGTAAAGTGGAGACATTCCATTCATTTGGAGTGAAGGGGTGACATTCCTGCCATTGGAAACATTTGGGTGGCATTAAGTCAGAATTATTCCAAACCAATGTGTTTAATGGTGAAATGGGGAGGGGTGGGAGAGAAAGGTAAGACATCAAGGGGAAAAATGGGGTTGAAAATTGCAAGCCTACTAGTGTCTTCCTTAAAGTCTCACTACTTTTTTTTCCCAGTTGTATGGCAGCTCCTCCAACAGTTTATTGGCATTTCTCCCCCTTCCCCTTTCAACGATGTAGTGCATTATTTGCTATAGGCAGCTCCCACTGACCCTCCAGGAATTTGGGAGCCTCCTAAATTTCCACATTCACAATCATTACCCCCTTAAGGGGAGGGAGGGTATAAGTCTGTTTAAAAAAAGTCATCCAGCTCAGAACTAAAACACTTGCCAAATGAATTAGTTCACAAAATAACCAGGTGCTGGAGGTCTCTTCTGTGCAAAACACTCAACTGTAAACACTAAAAAGGACGATCATATCGACCTAATGCCATTGCCATTGGCTGTGGTGATCTCAGCAGTGGAGTCGGAGGGGCCTGCGATTTCCTGAAGCCCAGAGTAGTCCTTGAGTTCAGTCTGATTTGCGAGCAGAGGCTGCTCTGCCTTTTTCGGAGGGAGGAGTGGCTGCCTGGTGTAGTTGTCTCCATCGTCGATGGTCTCTGGGAGATTCAGCCCTCTGCTCTCAGGCAACAGTAGGATGCAAATGATGCAAATCATTGTGCAGCAAGTAAAGATCACGTGGTGCAGAAAGTAACCCTTCTGGTTGTGAAGCTCCATGATGGGTGCAGTCAGTCTGCCAAATCCAGCACTTGCCAAAACCAGACCTAAACCTCCACCCCTATAAAACAAGGAACATCAGGTTAACACTTTTTATATAAAAAAAGGAATTAACTGGGTGAAACCTTCAGCAAGTTTTCTTACCACACGCCTCTGTTTACTAAGCAGTAAGCAGGAACCTGGTTGTTAATCAATTTGCAGGGGTAATAATCCCTTCAAAAATGAAAAAGGAATTTGGTCACTCAATCCACAAATGTTTGTGTGACACTGCTGTGCGCAATTGGCTGACGCGTTTGCCCACAAATATACAGTCAATTCACTTTACAGTGTGTTCTGTGAAGCGCTTTGGGACATCCTCCCGACGTGAAAAGCGCTATATCAAATGCAAGAATTATTATTATTATCCTTCACTTTGAGCGGAAACCTCAAAAAGTATTGTATAATATATGCTGTTCACCCTATAAATGTAATTTATTTTTAAGAGTTACAAAGTTCCAGGGCAATTCTCTCTGTACTCAGCTTCCACCTTCCTGTAGTAACCAATACTCAATCAGACATTTGAAGAGATTTAAAAGGACTACAGTACATGTCCCATTATAACGTGCTTCACTGCAAAGTAAATTCACTTAGAACGTAGTTGCATGTGGAGCCCATTCATCATGCATGTGCACAGAGGCACCACTGCCCCCTCTTCAACCATGCCTTCGATCACATTCCTACCCCTATCCCCCTACCCTTCTGATCCTATTCCCCAGATTGGATGCAAATCGGGACTATTCAGCAACTTGGAAAATCCTCCCAGCATGAAAGGTGCTGTATAAATATAATTTGTTGTGGAACACGGCAAGGTTGGCACTCTAAAACAAAGCAAGATTCAAGTAAAGACTTCAGTCCACTTGATCTCATCCTTCCAAAGCATAATTTATTGTTCAGTATCATTGTTTGGCTAGTTTTAAGTCTTTTTTAAATCAACATCCCAAGTTCTCATTCTCAGCTGTCCACCGGGGAGTTAAATGCTGAGCAGAGACTGCTATGCGCTGTAGAGTAACCAGTTAAACTGGAATGTTTGCTGAGTTTATCCTCCAAGCACAATACTTAAAGGAACAGTGACAGGAAACATTTAATAAATAGATCACAAGTTTAAATCAATGTTACATGTCCTTTTTACAAAATACAAGAGGGGGCGGAGAGGAGAGAAGAAATTTGCCGAAGGGTTTTACCCATAAACATAACATGTAGGACCAGGAGTAGGCCATTCGGCCCTTCAAGTCTGCCCCATCATTCAATCATGGCTGATCTTCTAATCTAACTCCAGCTAATAACCTAACCCTGCCTTATCCCCATATGCCTTAATCCTTTTTGCAATAAGAAATCTATTTATCTCAGTCTTGAATATGTTCAAGGACTGAGCGTCAACAGCCCTTTGGGGTAGCGAGTTCCATACATTCACCACCCTTTGAGTGAAAAAGTTCTTCCTCAACTTAGTGCGAAAGGGCTGGCCTCTAATTTTAAGGTTGTGACCCCTGGTTTTAGGTTCTCCAACCAGGGGAAACAATCTCCCACTATCTACTCTATCACGCCCTTTGATGATCTTAATAGGAACTTCTATATATATAACTTCTATAGGAATAATTCTTCTACATTCTAGAGAATATAGGCCCAAATTGGTCAGCCTATCCTCGTAACTCATCCCCGGTACTAACCTGGAAAATCTACGCTGCACCCCCTCCAAGGCAAGTACATCCTTCCTTAAATAAGGAGACCAAAACTGCACACAGTATTCCATGTGTGGTCTCACCAGAGCCCTATACAGTTGCAGCAAGACTTCCCTACTCTCTTACTCTAATCCTTTCATAATGAATGCTAACATACCGTTCGCCTTCCTAATTGTTTCCTGCACCTGCAGACTAACTTTCTGTGATTGGTGTACAAGGACACCCAAGTCCCTCTGGACGCTAACACATTCCAATCTCTCCCCTTCTAAAAAATAACCCGCTCTACTGTTTTTGCTACCTAGGTGGATGACTTTGCACTTCCCTACACTATACTTCATCTACCACCTACCTGCCCAATTACCTAACCTATCTATGTCTCGCTGCATTTTTTTAAAAAACATCTTCAATTACTTTCCATCTATGTTGTTTTCCTCCAGTTAAAATGTTTGAAATGTACTGGTGTACAAAAGGAAAAAAATGCAAGTCCAAATCTAGATTAAAGTCACCCACATTGATTCTGATGGCTCAAATGGGTAAATTTACACCCCAGTTTCTGAAAACAATGTGATGCACACACTTCATATCTGCACTGGCTGTAAATACTGCACAGTCACTGTAAGTAAATACACCCAAATAAATGAGCAGCTGCCATGCATACCACCAGAGAGAAATGATATCTGAACATCTTGGGTGTCTTCCAACAAAATGTTGACTTGAAAATGTGCCAGGTATTGAGGAAGCTGCACTCATGTGCAATAGATTGATGACACTGTTCAGACTTTCCATTCTCAGCAATTGCCAAACTTTAAATTTAATGCATACATGTCATTAGTCTCATTTTCACTATTTTATAGGATAATAGAATGCTAATTTACCAATATGTCAGTTAACAAAATAAACAATCATACAACTTGAGGTTCAGTACCATTGCTTAGCTTAAATCAAATGAAACAAATGGATCCTTATTAGCTTTTGCTCATGTGCCATAAAGAGAAAGTCAATTGCTGCTAGTAATGCAATTTTATAATAATCCTTGCATTTGATATGGTGCCTTATCAAGCCAAGATGTCTCAAAGTGCTTCATGGGATTTACTGTGCAAATGAGTGACTTTGTATTTGTAAGCAAATATGGCAGCACAGTCCCACAAACAGCCATGGAATGAGTGTCCAATTTTTTTTGGGGTGGGGGGGATATATTGGCAAGGACACCAGGAGAAGCTCCCTTCTCTTTTCAAATAGTGCCATAGGATCTTTAGCATCCACCTGAACAGGTAGACAGGACCTCGCTTTAATGTCTCAATCGAAGGACAGAATCTCTAACAATGCAACACATCTACAGGGTTGCATTGGAGTTTAATCTTGGACTATGAGTTCAAGTCCCGACATGGGATATGAACCTACAGCCTTTTGACTCAGAGGCAAGAATGCTACCTTCTGAGCCAAAACACACAATTTGGTGCCTGTAATTCACAAAGCTGTACATGCCCACATTATGATCTTTTATGAATGATGCCAACCTGAGGAGATGTCAAGTGCAGTGTTGGCATTGCTTCATGGAAACAAAATACGAATCACTGATAGATTCACAGTCATGGTGGCCATTACAGAGGGGCATTAGCGGGACCCTCATTAGTCTTGTGAGGGCCTGTGATCAGGTCCCTCATCTTGTTGACTGGGAAAAAAAGTGTTCTTTTTTCTTATACTAAACAAAGGAGGAACATCATTGCTGGGTAAATGAAATGTTTTCTTCTCTACTTAAGTGACCAGTCAAGTTAGAACATTGCAAGGTTCCCAGAGGTGAGGGGCTTTAGTTACAAGGGAGATTTGAGAAATTAGGATTCTCCACTGGAGCCGAAGAAGTTAAGAAGTGATTGAATAGCTGATTAGGATAAATAATATCTACCGGTCAGTCAATATAAATTTACTTTTCTGCAGCACCTTTCATGTTGAAAAGATGTCTTTAAGTGCTTTACACAGCTGATGTAGTGCTTGAGGTGGGGTGAGGGGAAGAAAAAGATGATGCAAAGCATATTCAATGAGATAGGGCTCGAGGCAGAATTTAAAAGTGGAAAGAGAATGAGTTGGAGGGATTCCGAGATGGAGTTCCAGAAAGCTGGGGAAGAATGGCTAAAAAGTTGCCCATCAATGATAGGGCAGATCCACCAGGAAAAGAAGCAATCCTGTGTTTGCAGAGTTTAGGAGATTGAAATGAAAGGGCAATATTAAAAAGGTTCAAAAAATTATTCAGGAAGCTTAGAATGAATAATATTCTAAACGTAGATAGATTCTCTGCTGTACACTATTGTTGGGACATCCTCCTGACGTGAAAGGCGCTATACAAATGTAATCTTGTTGTTTTTGGGGGGGGGGGGGGGGGGAGTCCATAAATTCTTTCTTTTAATAAAAGAGAGGAAACCAACAGACACGGATTAAAAGTAATTAAGAGAATGGGATTAGACCAAATGGAGAAAAGATACAGACTGAATCAAATGGTTGAATTCTGTGCTGCAATTTTTGTGGGGTTAGCCGGGAGTCTGACGCATATGGAAACCCATCACCATACTTGAGTATCTAAACCATGCTGAGATTTCCATGCATCCCACCTACACATGGAAATCTCAGAGATAGATTGTTGGAGGAATGAGCTCTCCCTCCCCGGAGGGAAGCATCCTGCTTCCCTAATTCTGGAAAGTACAAGGCAAGAGCCAAAGCCTGGGGACCCCAGAGTGTGCGTTGGAATACTGCTGGATTAACCAGCTAAAACTGCGTAGCTTGCTATTGAGCACTGTCTGGTAAGCTTTCCTGCTGCTTGTCCAACTAGGACCACTGTACCCATTAGGGTTTTGGCTTTCAGGGTTGCAAAATTGACTAATCCATATTAAAGGTCTAGCCTGGGTCAGAGGCGGAAATTAACAGTCACTTCACAGTATATCCTGTGAAGTGCTTTGGGATGTCCTCCCGATGTGAAAGGCGTTATACCCAACGCAAGTATTATTAGCAGATCAAGTTCTAGAATTTTGTATTACAGGCTCATGTCCAGTAGAAATTGATCAAAATAATTTCATTTGGGATCCTTTACTGGAAAAGAAGGCTTTCGCCCATCAATCTGGGTTCGATTCATATCCATTTCCAGATGACGAAAGGACAATGTCCTAAAAAAATGCTGCATCAACCCTCTATAGAAGGTTGAATTTCAACATGTGATGAAGCAGCATTATCCAAAAGATGTCTCAAAAGAATTGTAGTTCAGACGCTAATAAGCCTCACCTTTGGTAGTACAGCATTTTCTGCCTGTCTTTTTTTAATGCAGCTGCATATTTCTATTGTTGCATTTTCTTATTTGAATGCCATTTGGGGAAATGTGGGAAAGGGAGGCAGAACAAAATCTCAACAGCTGGAACTCATTATCTGCAGTAAAGCATTATCTGTAAAGCAGAAGGTTGTTGCAATAATAATAGTTGTATTTGATATAGGCCCTTATCACAGAATATATTGTAACATGAATCACCAATTGCACACAGCAATGCCCCACAAACAGTCGTGGATTGAGTGACCAATTTTTTTTTGAAGGAATTATTACTCCGGAAAATCAACTGCCAATCAATTAACAATGAGGTTCCTACTTACTGCTGGGTAAACACAGTACGGAAACTTGCCCAATGTTTTGCCCTGCCAGGAATCGAACCCAAGTCTCTCGCTTGTGAGGCGAGTGCTCTAACTGCTGAGCTACAGACTCCACCCAAGTCATGCAAAAACAAAGAGATGTGCAGAAGCTTCATATCAGGTGCTGAGTTACATGTGCAATACAATCAGAGTCACTCATATTACCAAAGCTCCAAAACATTCTTTGAACAAATTGCAAGATACACAAAATCAATATAATCCTTGCATTTGGTAGCGCCAATGTGATAGCACCTTATTACATTGTCGAGATGTCTTAAAACATCTAGACAATGTACTGTAGTGGCAGTGTATTTGTAGGGAAACAGCAGGCAATTTCCACACAGCAACATCTGACAAAGAGCTATGAAGTGAATGACCAATTTTATTTGAGGGATTGTTGGTCAGGGTACCAAGAGAAACATTCTTCTCTTTAAGTAGTGCCATAGGTTCCTTAACATCCACCTGAACAGGTCATCCTAACCTTGATTTAACATCTCATCCGAAGACCGGCACATCCAACATTGCAACACACCCCCAGTGCTGCATTAGAATGTCAGCCAAGATTGTGAATTCAAAGTCAAAGGTCTTGAACACACAACCTTCTGACTGTGGATGGAGTGCTACCAACTGAGTTAGAGTGACAAATTAAACTACAGGGTCGGTCAATAAAAAGACATTTGGGTCACATTTCAGATACTTGTAGAATACAATACACATATTAGCGCCTTTCACTCGATATGGTATCTGATCTTTATCAGCAATGCTTTGACCTAAAGATAGTGCTTTTACCCACTGCACCATTAAGTCCCCAAAACTCAAGGGCACACTTTCTCTTTACAGGCTGCAATGCAGTTCAAACCTTAAAAACACAACAGCAAAATTTTCATTGATCCAATCAATACAGAACAAAGACTGGGCAATGAGGCATGCAACAAACATTGAGGAGTCTTACCTGATCACAGTCGGGGTGAGCTCAGCACAGAAGAAGATGCTCAGATTTCCCACCGCATGGGAAGCAAACATACCCACAATAGAAAATGTGACAGAAAATGGGTCCTGTAGGCTCTTGCTCATATCTGCAGGAGTGAACATTAAGGGTTGGATGTTAGCAGATGAAAAAAAGTCACTTTTTTTAAATATAAATCCTGCTGCCACTGGATTATGTAGGTTTAAGAAATGTAATCAATTCTTAAATGTTTACAAGCACAACAATTGTAGCCTTTATAAAATTCAACCATAAAACCACCAGCTGACTTTAAGTGGTTTCCATACATCTTCCTCCTCCAATGCCATAAACAAGCATTAAAATCATGGGCTCACAGAATAAAACACAATTTTACATTTATATGATTACCCTCACATCAGGAAGACATCCCAAAGCACTGAACATTACTGGCTGGGCACCCGAGCTGGGGAAAGATGAACATGCAGCCAAAGAAGTAGGTCTCGAGGTGGACCTTCAACAAGGTGAGTGAGTTGGAAGGACTTTGGGATGGAGTTACACAGAGTAGGAGCAGAAAGGCTGAAAGCCTGCCCGAAGATGGTGGGAGGGAGAAGCAGGGCACAGAGAGATGCTCACTAAATGAAGGGAACAGCCGGGTCGACGGGGTGTTTGGTAGTTGTAGTGGTAGGGTGGGGCAACTATGGTGAGAGTTAAAGGTGAAAACAAGGTTCTTGAACTTGATCCACTGGAATGGGGAGCCAAGCAAGAATAGCGACTTTCATGTCAGAAGAATATCCCAAAGAACTTCACAGGATTCAAAACAACAAGATTACATTTGTATAGCATTGGGAAGACATCCCAAGACGCTGGACAGAGCACTGCATTTCAGACCCCAACTGGGGTCAGGGAGGGAGAAGGAAGGGGAAGGGGGTGGCCGATGGCATGGTCAAAGAGGAGGGTTTTGAGGCGAGACTTGAAGGAGGCTAAGGAGGGGGCGAGGCAGAGTGATTGGGGGATAGAATTCCAGAGGTTGGGGGCAGAGTGGCTGAAGGCTCTCCCACCAATGGTGGGGCGGTGGGTCAGGGGATGTGGAGCAGGCCAGAGCTGGCTGAGTGGAGAGAGCGGGCGGGTTGGTAGGGGGTTAGGACCAGGATCCGCTGAAGGATAGGGAGCCAATGGTGTTAGGCGAGAATGCGGGAGATGGGGTCACAGTTTGGTGCGGGAGAGGTCATGGGCTGCAGAGTTCTGGATTATCTGCAGCCTGTGGAAGGAGGAGTTGGGAAGGCCGACAAGCAGGGCATTTGCATTAGTCAAGTCTGGAGATGATGAAGGCATGAACAAGAGTTTCAGCGGCCTGTGGGGTGAGGTAGTGGCAGAGTCGGGCGATGTTACGGAGGTGAGGGAAGGCAGAGGTTTGGCTTGGATGTGGGGAAGAAGACAGTTGTCGAACAAGACACTTAGGTTCCTGACTGGCGTGGTGAGTTGAAGTGTGCAACCGTTGAGGTTGATGGTGCCAGAGCCTGAGGTGCAGAGGCACTGGCATCAGCCAATCAGGTGGGCCTCAGTCTTGTTCACATTCAACTGTAGGAAATTCACTGCAAAGTGGAGTGACTGTGTGTTGTGGGTGAACATGGCACACAGCAGTGTTCTACAAAAGAGGCCTGCAGAGCAGATATCTCCCACATAGAAGAAATGATCCAAGAGACTGACTGAAAGTCAGTCAGCATTCCTTGCACCTACAACCCCCTCTTGGGGCAAGGCCAAACCAGAGTTATGTGTGTTCTATGTTTATCTGAAGCTCATAGAAAGCAGATCTTTCATGGCACAAGTTGGATCATCACCACATTCGCAATGTGTAACAATTTGGGATGGGAGAGGAAAATCAGAGCAATGCATTTGTAAAAAATATTTACATTTATTCTATTTTAATGAGGGAAAGTCAAAGTGAACAGATATCCAGAGGGAGGCAAGAGATATGCAACACTATTTCTAGTAATAAAAACATAGGATATGAATGACTAAGGATTGGCCAAATATACATATTTCACTTTCATACCCTTCCTAATCCCTCTTCCTGTGTTTTATTCCCTTATCCCTCATGCTTGTATTACATTTCCTCTTAAACACATTGATTTAATTTGCTTCAACCACAGCTTTTGGCAGCGAGTTCCATATTCAGATCAACCCATGTGAAAAAAAGTTCCTGCTAAACTCCCTTTCATATCAGTTACTTTCTTTCACCCACAAAATAACCTGTCAATTCTCTTTACATTCTGTGAAGCACTTTGAGACGACTCAACAACATAAGCTGTTATATTAAATGCAAGGTTTATTATTATTGCCCATTTTATATATTGTTTTGCACCTAACAAGTGAAAATAACAAATTGTATTTATACAGCAGTTTATAATCTTAAACACCTTGATCAGTTGCCATCTCAAATAATGACCCTTACATTTGGTATTGCACCTTTCATGTCAGAAAGATGTCCTAAAGGATGGCGAAGTGTGTGGGGGGGGGGGGAAGAATGCGTGACTCCTGATTCCAGGGTACAAAAATGTTAATGTAGACCCATACCCAGTTTACTAAAACTGATCTCAAGCATATGAAAAGTGCAAGGCCAGAGAGTTTTTTTTATAAACGGAAAAATAAGTTCTTACAATTCCTACAGGTACAGTGCACATCATTTGCATACACACCCTGCTGAATATTGCAATGGCAAACGTCACTGTCTCAAAGTGAAACTGAGCAGAAGATTCAATGTCCAATCTGTGTGAAGTTAGGGCAGGGGCACTAAACTTCACTTATTACTCCAGGCTAGTGGGGAGAACAGTGGATGAAAGTTCCTTTAACTCTCCCGTGCTACTAGCTAAACCGGTGTGTGGAGTAAGGAAACTTGCCTAAGGTTTCGCCCTGTCCGGGAATTGAACCCAGGTCCTTTCGCTTGCAAGCGAGTGCCCTAATAAATACATGTTGTGGGTTGAGATGGCAGACCTGCATGTTTTTCTCTTCATCACTCTGGGGCTGACAATAAGTAATGCAGAGAAACGCAGTATTCATGGAAGTTTTTTTTTAAATGAAGTTGTATACAGGCAAATTGTATTCACGTTCAAAGATCACTAGCTAACCAATCACATCTAGGCAATGCACAACCTCCCTTTTCCCCACCAATACTAATATGGATTTAACAAGACAAAAACGAACCAAAAATGTGACTGACAATGTTAACTGTGATTAATCTGTTATTTTCAAGCACCACACTAGTATTTGAGGACCATAACTTTGGATTAATATTGCTGACCATGCATATTCAGCTCACTCGCCAGAATCAGGATTGTGATTATAAGCAATGAATTTGAGTGCTTTTCAGTCTTTGCTCTACAAACTGAAATCCAGAACACTGGCCCATAAGAGTACAGTGCGTTCTTGAGATTCATATCCCGACTATACACAAGCCAGAAATACACAAGGATCATTAACGTGACAAGATGGTCACAGGTAACCATGCTATGTGGGTGCACCACAACACGTCCAAAATCCAGTAAAAAGCAGAGGAGAAATGGCAGCTCGGAAAATAATATCACAGCTGGGCAGGCTAATGCCTGCCACAAACTGATGAACAACAGGGCAGCTGAACACCCCAAAAAAACCTATCCTTTGGGATAATATGAGTCAATGCCTGAGGAGCAAACAAAGAGTTAACAATCACACAATAAAAATTCTACAGGTCAGGGGAAAAGCACTGGTATTGCTGAAGAAATGCAGGCATACTGGGAGATCTGCTCTCAACAAACCACCTCATTTGCCTAAAGAGCTTCAGGACACTCCTACTAAAATAACTAGCTTAAAGCTCTCAAACTAACTTGTAGAGAAGTTACTTCAGCTTGAAACTCTACTTTTCCAAAACATTATTTGTTAAATGAAAACTATTGCTGTGTGAAGATGCAATTCCCATTTGCTTTTGGAAAATCGAAGCCAAAAAACATCCCATGGTACACTGCTGTATGTTTTAAAATTTCTTACTATGCAATAATAAATGCCCAAGGATTGTGTGTGCCATTTGATAAAATCCTTTTAATGCAAATTAAAAAGCAGAATTTTCACCTAATATACATCTTGTATATTAAAAAAACCTGCTGCAATGAGTACTTCACAATAAAAACTAGATATGCAAATTGTACACAATGTGATTTGTGGGAGACAATTCAAAAATATAACTATTCTACAGAATGGATATGGCAGCCAGTGCAATATGGCCAATGTAAGTAAAAAGGGCAACATAGAGGCTTAGATACAAAAGCATGGAAAGCAGCCAGTTGCACAGCACCTTTTATTAAGGATGAATGCAGTACTTCAAACGATTGACATAAAAGGGGGAGCGGCAGGGAATGAGGTAAAGGCTCACCGTCCTGTAAAAGGTAGAGCCAGGACTAGCCCACTCATGTATCCCTGTAGATAAAGGGAATCGAACCCCTTTAGGATCACCGTGGTGATAGGGGTGGTTTGGGTTGTTTAGTGTATGTTTTTGCGTCTGTGATGTTTCTGGTTGCGTTACTGTGTAAACGTGCATGTGTATAGTGCACATCAGGGCACCATCCAAACTCAGTAAGTGCACCTTATTAGTCTGTGTGCAGGTGCACACACGTATGTAGTGCAAACAGGGGAGTTTCCAGACGGTCTTATAGGGAGCGTACTAAAACTGGAGAATAACGTGTTGCGTCTCTTTTTTTGTACTGGTTTGATACTGTAAGAGAAGCATAAATAACAAAAAAATGTTAAGATAAAAAAAACTTAAGACTGAGAAATCCCAAGTAGTAAGGGAGGGGGGAAATTTAAGGGCATTAACCAAAGACATGGTCTAAAAGATAATCCTTGCATTTGATATAGCACCTTATCATGTCATTGAGATGTCACAAAGCACTACACAGGATATACTGTCAAGTGGATTGCTTGTGTAATTTGTGGACAAAAGCAGTAACAGTTACACACAGCAATGTTCCACAAAAGCAATTGTGACTCATGAGATTGTTGGCCATGACACTGGGAGAAACTCCCTCCTCTTTTCGAAGAGTGCCATGGGATCTTTAACGTCCACCTGAACTGGCAGACAGGATCTCGGTTTAACGTTTCATCCAAAGAACGGCACCTCAAACAATGAAACGCACTCCCAGAACAGCCTTGGAGGGTCAGCATGGAATCACACAGTTTAAGTCCCAACGTGGAGCTTGAACCCACAACCTTCTGACTCAAAGCTGAGAGTGCTACCACTGAGCCAAACTGACACATGAACAGACATGATGCATAGGAGAGGTTTTGAAGATGGGAAAGAAAACACTGCTAAGTGATTTTAGGAGAGGCTTGGAGAATGGCTGGGGGCTTAGCACAGTGTGGGTGGGGAGGTGAGGAATAAATAATAGACCAGTCAGAAGAAAGGAAGTCAAGGTAGGATAACAGAGCTGGAGGAGACTGCAGAAATAGTGAGACATTGAAGGTATGAATGAAGATCTTGGCAGTCAATTCACAAAAATACTGGGAGCCAGGTGAGGTTAGCATCAACAGGTTGCAGAGCCTGGTGCAAGAGACAATAGCAGCTACCCTGTCAGCCACAGGCAGTACATTCCCTGAAAATAAAGTGTGGGTGTAAAAGGGACAAAGTAAAGGAAAGAGAATAGCTTGGGCGATGGGAAAAGAAGCCATGATTTGTTTGACTTTATGGCCACGTGGGTGAGTTTACAGCGTGCAGGTGATGGGCTGCTGGTTGTAGAGCCGTGTTCCAGGAAGCACCTTATTAGTCATGGAGAATAGTGTAGAGTCTCCTTTGGGAGTCTGGCACAGCATTCAGCGCCACTCAACTATTCAAGGACACAGGCAGACACTAATTAAGAGTATGTTTCAGGTGCCCTAAAATTCAAAGATTTTCACATAAAAGCCCCAGCAAACTAATACTGCTCTATAGTGTGCTCAACAGATTACCATAGAAACAAGTAGATGGCAATTAATTTGGGCCAAAACAAACACCTGATGTGTTGTACATGTGAAGGAGCAGTAAGCAAAGCAAACAGGATGTTGGGTTATGTTGCCAAATGATTAAGAGTTCAGATTGCCAGAAGTCGTGATCAAGCTGCACAGTGCATATCAGGCTGCACCTGGACTGATGCATACAGTTCTTGGTTGCTGTGACATAAGGGGACTGTCTAGGCCTCAGTAGCAGTACAGGGAGCAATTAGGATGATCTCCTGTGATGCAGTTTGAGCTTATATCGCTAATCAGATAAGATCAGCCTTGAAAAAACATCTCAAACAGGAGGACTTTACATTGTAAATGGAATAAGTGAACAGCCCAGAACAACACTTTCACATATGCTGAGACAGTAGGATACGAACTTTAAGTTCAGGGTTGTGAAATACTATTTTAAAACAAACAAGGAAATATTTAGAGGGTAACTTGAAGGCTGGGCCAGGTTACCAAGAAGGATAATAAAAACATTTGATATAGCACCTTATAACATTGTTGAAATATCTCAAATTGCTTCACAGAATAGATTATAACGTGGATTGACTATTTTGTGGATGAAAAGTGGGCCAACTGTGCCCTGCAGCGTCCCACAAACCGTCATGGATTGAACGGCTAAATTTTGTTTTGGATGGTCGAGGCCAGGTCACTGGACTCACTTAAACTGTTTGATTCTATAATAAATGGTTGATATGCTGCAAAGGATGAAATCAAATGGGCTGAAGGGCCTTTAACTGAAGATCATGATGTGATATGTCAGAAGAAAGATTTCTGTAAATTAGCTTTCTCTCTAACTCAGATTTCTGGTTGGAGTGTAGTCCAGTCCACTATTATCACACTCAACTCTAGCTGCTCTGCTTGGGCATTCCATATTCCTCAAGAAGGATCGAGAAATAGGTTGGATTAAAGCAGAGTCCTATTCTTGTTCCTTAAAATGCTAATGTTTTTAAAAAAAACTATAGGAATCAGATTTTTCTCTTGGATAACAAAAACTTGGAACAGATCAGCTTGAAAACTGGATAGATGAGCTAAACAGCAAGTCAACGAACTGCTTTGCTTCGAAGGAGCCACAGGCAGCGCCCTCAACTCCAGGCCTTCAACATACACTAAACTAGTTTCAAATAAAACTAGTGAAACCTTAACTACAAAGTTGCTGAATTTTGTACTTTTGTTTAAAAAAGCACAACAGATGTATATTTAAACACAAAAGAGCAATTTGATATTTGGGCATTCAACAAGTCTGCCAGAAATGGAATACTCAGTGAATAAATGTTGAATAAAAAGAGGCCACAGATCACTCATAATAGATTGTGATTAATGCTTCTATTAAAAATCCATTTGCATTTGGTACCACGTCTATTGGAAAACAACCACCAACAACGACTTGCATTTATATAGCTCTCACGCAGGGTAGCATTCCAGAGTTGTGAACAAAACTACTGTGAGATAAAAAAAATACAATGTCTAAACAAGGTTCCCCCCAACATAGCCTTAATTAATCTGTACTGCTCAATAATACTTAAACATAACCCATTGAGTTTGATTGTGAATAGTTTGAAAAGAGGGCTAAGACATAACTTCCGTTCCATTCCCTCACATTCTCCTCCTTTAATCTATTAACTTAGCGAGATTGACACAACACATAACAGAACCCACTCTTCAAAGCTCAAAGAGAATAGCTGTTTAGGCAGAGGAACAGGACTTACAGTTTATGAGGCCTAGTTGGAGGAGGGAAGCGAGTGCAGTGATGATGGTGAAGAGCAATAGGGTGCCCCTTCGCCCCATCAGGCTTACAAGACCACACATGGCCGCACAGGATAGAATTCCAATCACTTCCATGATGTAGTACTCAGCATAGAAATTTTGCAGGAAGTTGTAACTTGATCCATCCATTTTGTGATCCATCATACTCTTCACAAAACAGTAGTGGATCCCAAATCCAGTCAGGCTTCAAAAGGAAAAGGAGAAATTAGTAACACAACATTCACAAAGTGTACAGAATTAAGTGTTGTGCATAGCAAATGTTCACCATACTTTAGTCCTTCCCCCACACACAGAAGGGGGCCCAATAATTAATAGCAATGTAGAAAATAAAATCCTTTCCATCTCTCCTTATGGGACAGATACCCAACTGCAAACTAAGCATTTAAAATATAGTAGTCCGATTCAAAATGGCTGCAGATTTGATACTTGGTCTCTGTGTAGCAACAATAGATTTCATCCTGGCACAAATGATCTGGAGTCCTGCAGCTCAGTGGTTAGAGCACTCGCTTTGCAAGCAAGAGACCTGAATTCAATTCCAGGCAGGTCAGGGTGAAACCTTGGGCAAGTTTCCTTACTCTGATGCCTAATAATAATCCCTCCAAAACCAAAAATAATAAATTGGTCATTTTCAATCTACGACTGTTTGTGGGACATTGCTGTGCGCAATTGGCTGCCGCGTTCGCCCACAAATATACAGTCAATTCACTTTACAGTGTGTTCTGTGAAGCGCTTTGGGACGTCCTCCCGACGTGAAAAGCGCTATATCAAATGCAAGGATTATTATTATTATTATCTATATTCCTTTGGTTATCTAGTGATCCTTGCTGTAATTCTTGCAAGGTTGAGCGTGGACAAGGATTGGATCAGATCTGCCGCAATGTCTAGTTTTCTCCTCCACCCCATTCTTGAATAGCCTATCAACATCTGTTCAAACATACCCCTACAGAAATCATCCTTTTCAGAAGAGGGTAAAATTTGAAGAGGTGGGGTTAAGATTTGAATTTTCCACCTTGAGGACACTAAATGTCAAAGTTACACAAAAATCATTTATGAAAACATTCAGATAAGATAAACCAGATAAGAAGTGACTTACAAGACTTTGAGACGATGGTGAGGTCATTGCTAGGCAAAAATACCATTACATGATTGATAGGATTATTATATAAGGGAATTACTTTACTGTCAGAGCATAAAATGATAGGGCTGCTGTAACCATAGTGCTGAACATAAAATAACTGTCAATGAATTACATGGCTGTAATCCAATCAAGTGTTTTGGAGGACACTAAATGCAATTTAAAGTATTCATCCATATCCCAAGGTTCCTTAAACTATTTCTGTACGTAGATAAGTTAAGGAGACTGTCTGGGAAACATTTTGAGCAGAACAAGCCAAACTGTCCAAAGAAGATTTTATCATTAAAGCTATATATGCTTCAGTGACCTGGTCACCTCAGTCGTGAGTTAACTTGGCTTCCCCAGAGTCAAGGTTAGTAACTCTCATCAAACCAGGTCATCTGTGCTTTCTTTCATCAAAAAGTCATCAGTACTTACTGTTCAAAACCAAGAGATTTTCAAAATAGTTTATTGCCAAAGTCTGAATTTTGGTTTGAGAAAAATCCTCAAGAGGATTTGTTTTAGAGCATTTGCTTTCATCAGCCAGTGCAAATAGTAGTTGGATCAGATAATAATATGAAAGGGTCATCAGTTGAAATCTTTCTCTCACACTCCATTCCTTCTCACTGTGTGGGGGTTTGTTCTCTGCCTAGTGATGTGGGTGAAGCAGAGCGGGCATGTTACCCAGCATTACAGAGCTTGTGATAGTATACATTCTGTATACACCAATAATGAGCATCATCTCCAACATCTGGCCTGCATCTCTGTAGAAAGCCTAGAGTAATTCATGGTGCCTCATCATTAGGCTTAGCACAGATACTTCAGTCCACACAACTTGCAAAACATAATGGCTCAATGTGCAGCTTCATTACTTACGAATTCACACAAAGTACTAAGATGTGCTTCCACAAAATTCTTGTATGTATGATTTTCACAATGCAGGTTTTGTTATGTCTCGCCACTGGTTCCTCCTTATCGAGTTCTAAAAAAGGTCAAATAAACAGGTTTTACTAAAATGACTTTCACAAGATTCTTTCCTCTCCCCTCCCACGAATTCAGCATAATACTTTGTCCTGAGGTCTATTGTGTGGTAACAAAAGTAGAAGTTGCTGGGAACACTCAGCAGGTCAGGCAGCATCTATGGAGAAAGAAAGTGAATCAACATTTTGGGTCCAAGACCCTTCGTCAGAACTGGGGCATGTTGGGAGGGAGAGGCTTTTAAGGGCTAGCTTAGAGGGGAGAGGTAGGGCAAGGATGACAAAGGACAAAAGTGGGTAGAGGACAGAGGATGATGGGTTAAAGAGGTGTTAATGATGCAAAACAAAGGGGGGGATTGCAACAAAGCAGGGGAAAACTTTGAAGAAGGTCTATTGTCTGGTGTCCACCTCTGAATTGCTGTCTTTCATTTTCATCTCATGTAAGACAAGACTTCAAAGCCAATTATTGTTTCAAATCACTTTGAAGCCCAAACTCTACCATAGTGAACATCCAGTACTGCCGGTCCTGAGGGGGTTCATTATAGTGAGGTTCGACTATAGGTTCTCTCGCTTGGCAAATCACTACCCATCATTGTTAAGAGTAGTTAATTGGAATGAGTAATTTCCTCATTCACAGCATTTCTGAGGTCACATTATTAGTCAGCACTCTTACCAGTAAGAAATCCCTTGATATCATCCTCCAGATGCACTCTATTTTTATGTGCAAAGTCCAGAAATACGTCTTTGGCAGCGTGGAGCTGGTGCGTGGCTAGCAGCCATCGGAGAGATTCTGGGAAAATACTGGGGGAAGAGGGGAAAAAAACAAGAAAATAGTACAATTAGGGACACGGTGTTTGTACACAAATGTTATAGATCCAAAAAAGCCAGCCACTTGGATTTTAAAGTAGTATCAGCTAGTGTAGAAGGATAGGCTGAGGAAGGGAAGGAACAATTGTAATACACCATCCACAGAAATATAGCTCCTTTATCTCACTACCTTGAGAACCATACCAGAGTTCAGGATCACATTTAGTCTTTACTGGTGCAGAAGAGAACAACAACAACCACCACTTATACAGTGCCCTCCAAGCAAGGTATGGTCTCAGAGCGCTTAACACTGGTGAAATCTGATTCCAAGACTGAAACAATTGCCCTGCAATAGCTTCGTGGGTGACTGCAAAACATGGTGTGGTACTGAACCACACAAACCTAGACAGAGGGGTATATATCCAAGTTCACAGATGACACGAAGGTTGGAAGCAAAACATTTCTTCAGGATTATGGATAGACTAAATGAGTGGGCTGAGATATAGATAGAGTTCAATGGTGTTCGGTTCACTGGTCACTGTAGGTCAGTTCACAGTAGTAGGTCTGGTTTTGGGTACAGCAATTCTAGCAGGCACAACAGCCTTAGAGGCAGGCAGCAGATTCACCAAAATAGAGATTAGTTATGAGGACAGAATGGACAAAATGGGACTGTGCTCTTTTGAAATATGTTGAGCCACACCAACTCAGACTACTTCTAAACTCATAGCTGTTCTACATGACTTCCTACAATATAGTTTGAGGTTAAAGTAACATACTCACCACCAGTAAGACAACATGAATATGAAAGGACAAATGATGATGGCTTGCAATATCTGCCAGTCTCGGCACAAGACAGCAAGACCAGGCATCAGCAGCTGACCTCCCATTGTAATGAAGCTCGCTGTCATGGTTATCATGAATCGGTTTCTAGGCAGAGATAGTTCGATACCTATTGTTAGGGGAAAGGAAATCAATCATTATATGGCTTCCCTGCAACAAAGCTGTGAGCAATAATTTAATTACTTGTTTAAATTATTCAGCCAAACACCATGTTGAAATGAATAAAATAAATAAAAACTATTTCCTCAGAATCTTACATTCTGCCCTCTCCCTCAATTGCTTTCTCTCTTCCCCTCCCCAAACCAAATAATGCTTCATAAAAGGACTAGAGTCAAATCCAATTCTTCACCCAACAATATAGTATATACACAATAGTAATTATATAGTAGCTCATAAGTAAACCCTGCTTTAGTGAAACTGAACAAACAGTCAGATTTGATCTTAAAGACAAATACAAAATTCTGGTATTCTGAGAGACACCTAGATCAGGGGTTCCAAGTCGGAAGCAATCTGGCTCTTGGAGATCAGTTTCAAGTTTTTATTCAATTGATCTGGATTCTATCATTCACAGCCTAATGACAAATGCATCTTAAAACTACTGGATCCCAATCATGTTGGGACAGCATCTTTGTGAACACCTTCTAAAAAGAATCTGGGATCTAAACAGGTTGTTTGTCTATTGTGGTCTCTTCCTTGGGAGTTTAGTCCCCAGACATTCAACATCTTTTACAAAAGTAGATATAACAAATGGCTAGTAATAATACTTGCATTTGATATAATGCTTTTCACATCTTCTAGATGTCTCAAACCACTTCACAGAATATACCGTAAAGTGAATTGACTGTATATTTGTGGGCAAAACACAGCAGCCAATTGCGCACAGCACTGTCCCACAAACAGTCATGGATTGAAGTGTATTATCAGGCAGAGTTCTAGCTGCCCTTGGTTATCCATTCCTCCTAATGTGAGCCCAGATGGTCTTGTGTAATCAATCTACTGTGAGGAACATCATAGCTGAGTAGAAACCTGCCTTTCCTGACTTGTACTTTCCAGCAGAGGTCACTGAATAGCGAGCAGGGACCCTAGATTTTTTCCACTCACTGAAGCCAAATTGAAGCACCGTTAGCTAAAATCACAGAACTTGAATTGAACTCTTGATCTTCTACTTAGCATCACTTAGACAGTGACTTTGTCAACTCAGTCAGTGGGAGGGAGGAGAGAGGGGCTTGTAAGGTTGATTATTATTCTACATTGTTTTATAATAATCTTTGATTTGAAATAGAGCCTTATCACATTGTTGAGACATCGCTAAGTGCTTCACAGGTTATATTGTAAAGTGACCATATTTTGTAGGCAAACTTATGTTCTGTAGAATACAGAAGAAAAAGAATCAACCTTGTAAGCCCCTCTCTCCCCTCCTCCCTCCGACTGAGTTGACAAATTCACTGCCTAAGCGATGCCAAGCAGAAAGTCAAGAGTACAATGCAAGTTCTGTGATTTTAGCTAACGGTGTTACAATTTGGCTTCAGTGAGTGGAAAAAATCTAAGGTCCCTGCTCGCTATTCAGTGACCTCTGCTGGAAAGTACACGTCAGGAAAGGCAGGTTCCTACTCAGCTGTGATGTTCCCCACAGTAGATTGATTACACAAGACCATCTGGGCTCACATTAGGAGGAATGGATATCCAAGGGCAGCTAGAATTCTGCCTCAGCATAGGGGCAGTGTGTACAGAGATAAAAGCAAAATAGAGTTTCAAATCAATTTCTGAATTCTCCATGGAATCAGATCACTTTTCATTCGCAACTTATGAACCAAAATTCATTGTTTACAGACTGGAATATTATGCTTGAATCCGAGCCAAACTTAATAACATTATCCACTTGTAATGAGCACACTGCCAAAGTTGGAAATGGACACCAAGCAGAGTTGGACTCAAGAACAACTACTACTTGGATTTAAAGAGGGCCTTTCACATTAGCAGGACATACCAAGTCACTGGACAGTGAAAGATATGCAACTGAATTGGAGTCAAGAGGGGTTGAGATAGTAGGATGATCAAAAACCTGGTCAAAGAGGAAGGTCTTGATATAGGCCTAGAAGGAGGCAAGGGTGGGAACGAAGCAGAGGGGCTCTGGGATGGAGGTCAAGAGGGTGGGAGCAGAAAGACTGAAGGCCTGCCTATGGTGGATATGGAGGCAGTGGACATGGAGCAGATCTGTGCCCGCTGAGTGGAGATGTTGGTAATGCTTTAGTAGGTAGTAGTAATGCTTTTGTGGAGTCCTGTAGCTCAGTGGTTAGAGCACTCGCTTTGCAAGTGAGAGACCTGAGTTCAATTCCAGTCAGGGCGAAACCTTGGGCAAGTTTCCTTACTCCACACGCCTAATAATAATCCCTCCAAAAAACAAAACAATAATAAATTGGTCATTTTCAATCTACGACTGTTTGTGGGACATTGCTGTGCGCAATTGGCTGCCGCGTTCGCCCACAAATATACAGTCAATTCACTTTACAGTGTTCTGTGAAGCGCTTTGGGACGTCCTCCCGACGTGAAAAGCGCTATATCAAATGCAAGGATTATTATTATTATTATTATTATTATAGGTCACAGAGGTAGGGAAGAGCAAGACTGTGGAAGGCTTTAAAAGTAAGGTTGAAGATTGTGAACTCTATCCTCTGGGGGAATGGGGAGCCAGTGAAGCCAGACGAGGATGGGGGGTATCAGCTCACAGAGGCTGATGCGGGGAAGGAGTGGAATTGGAGGCCTCCATCACCATCACTGTGGAGCATAGTAGACTAATGCACCAACATTCACCAAAACCACTCCACCTCTCATCCTTCATGTTGCTCACTTTATCCAAGTCTTAAATAATAATTGTATTTGATAACATCTCATCACACCTCAGCACTATTTTCAATTTTTCATTCCAATACAGTTCTGGGGGAGGGTTAGCGCTGCATTGTTGGAAATGCTATCATTCCTATGGAACATTAGCATTGACCTGCTCAACAATCCCCCAAATAAAATCAGTCATTCACTTCACTGCTGTTTATGCAACATTGCTGAGTGCAAACTGGTATACAAAACAGTTACTACACTAATTCATGAAGTACAAATGGAAGGATAATTATTTTTTCTTCATTTTTAAAAAAAAACTTCTGAAGTCTCTGCTGTTGTTCCACCCCCATTATTGTTAACTAAACAGAACAAGCCAGGAATCAAAACTTGGGTCATTTCTATAGTTCAATACAAGACTCTGAAATCCCCTTAAAAAAGCTCAGTTTCACATCTCACATCGATAGCAGTAGCTCTGAAGCTGCAAATTTGGATGTGCATTTATGGTAAATCCACGGGCTTACACTGGGCTGAGTGTGAATAAATCCAGGCATGAAACTAATCCCAGAGGGGAACTGATCATAGAGGTGGAACACTGCCAGACATCAGGTTGAAAGAAGCAAACAAACAAGCCATTAATAAGATGCTACATGTTGACTGTAACAATGTAGGAAACACAGATAAATAAAGCAGCACGTTTCCAAAGGCCTTGGAGTATAATATGTGTACACCTCTGACAAAGATACACTTGATAAGTGCGTAATAAAGAAAATGTATGGTCTCAGAACCCAATCTGAAGGAGGAAGAAGCTAAAATCAGTCACACACTTACAAAAAAGAGAAGCAAAACAAGAGGATCTGAAGAATTTTAACAGCTGGTAGACCAGCAGTTATGCATCTTCATTCCATCTCCTTCCCCTCCCATTTAAACGTTGCCCATCATCAGTGCAGAATACACTGTTTTCCTGCTGCTGACTGTAGAGTAAGCTGCATGAATCATTGCTTAGTTATTGTTGCCAGGCAGCTGATGTTGTCAGAGTTACAAGATGAATTAGGCTGACAGTTTCAAGAAAAAAAACACCCCCAGACCAATCACTTCCGATAGAAACACTTGAGGATTGAGAAGGCGTTTGCGCAGGGCATTGCTGAGACACAGCTCTATGCAAGACGGTGACGGTTTAATCTTGCCCTAAACTTCCATTCCGAGATTTCTATTCCTTCCCCGCCCTATTACAATAGTCTCCACATAATTACGGCATCAAACAAACAATCCTTTGGTCCTGGAATCCAGATGTTTATCCTATGCTGTTTGTGTAACTCATTTCCAATGCTGTGTTCCAGTTACATTGCTTTATCCATTAATGTCATGAAACTTCTAATGTTCTATTGCACTTCTGTTCTTCACTTACAAGAGAACACATTTCATCATAAACACATGTTCGCTTATCACAGTTGGACTGTGGATTCCAACTAACTTACCCAAAAAGCTAGTAAGCATTAAAAAAAAAGCATTTTGTTTTGAAGCATGCTTTAAACATGTCAGTTTGTTTCCTGCACCCTTAAAAACAGGGCTTCTGAATCGACCAGATTACATTGATGTCACTTCACACAGAATGTTGAAGCACTGACAAGTCATTGAGCCCCAGTGTTGAGATTTTATTGACTCCAGGAGCCATGTTATAATTCATCGTTATAAAACTTGGTAACAAAGCCATGCATCAAGTTGCCATCTGTCATATAACCCAAGCAAATGGCTTTGATATTGGTGACCAATACTGTAGATGGCAATTTACAGGATTCCTTATAAAAGAAACCAGAAGTTAAATCCACACCAACTGATGAAAAATCTTCTCCCATTTGTAGAAAGGAGCTCCTGCAAGTTAGCATGACGTACTTCCCAATACTGGAAGTAGTCCTTGTTTTGTTTCTTTATTAAAAGGAATCTGGTTCCAAAACATAGACCACAGGGTTATTAGCGACTGATGCCTGGACCTGAACAAGGAGAAGAATCAGAGGCAGCATCAACAGAGGTTCAGTACAATACTGCTGGGTCCATAAAAAACCCTTTACACTGAAAATGTTCCCACCAACACAACCTTTCAATCACAGCATGCAACGAGTTACTTTGAAGTGTCGTGATTTATGTAAAGGCTTTTATGTAGGCAAATGCAACAGCTAACCTAGACACCAGCAACATTCCACAAATAGAAGCAATTAATTAAAAAATGCAGTAGTTACATGAGCAGATTTACAAACTGGTTACTGAGAGGATTACACA